CCAAAGATCCCAAAAAAGAACAAAGCTAGAGGTATCACATGTCCTCATTTCAGACTATATTACAAAGCCATGGTATCAAAACAGTATAATACTGGCATAAAAACAGACACATAGATGAATGGGATAGAACCAAGACCCAAGAAATAAATGCATGTACATACAGTCAATGAATATTTGACAAGGGAGCCAAGAATACTCAATGGGGAAAAACAGTCTCTTAAATCAATGGTGTTGGGAAGACTAGATATTCACATATGAAAAAATAAAACTGGACCTCTCTCTTACACCACTCACAAAAATTAACTCAAAATGGATTAAAGACTTAAAAGTCTGAAACCATAAAACTTCTAGAAGAAAACATCAGAAAAAGTTCCTTGAAACTGGTCTTGGGAATGATTTTTTGGATATGATACCAAAAGTATAAGCAACAAATGCAAAAGTAAACAAATGGGACTATATCAAACTAAAAGCTTCTTCACAGCAAAAGAAACAATTGATAAAATGAAGGCAATCTATAGAATGGAAGTAAACATTTGCAAACCCCATATCTGTTAAGGGACTAATATCCAATATATATAAGGAAATTATACAAATAATAATAATCATGCAATTAAAAATGAGCAAAGGATCTGAAGAGACATTTTTCCAAAGAAGATATTCAAATGGCCAAAGGTATATGAAAAGGTAATCGACTAATCATCAGTGAAATACAAATCAAAAACACAATGAGACATCACCTCACACTGGTTAGGATGTCTATTATCAAAGAGATAAGTGATAACAAATGTTGGCAATGATGTGGAGAAAAGGGAACACTTGTACACAGTTGATAGGAATGTAAATCAGTACAATGACTATGCAAAACAGTGTGGAGGTTCCTCAAAAAATTAAAAATAGAACTACCATATGATCAGCAATTCTACTTGGTATTTATCCAAATGAAATGAAATCACTATCTCAAAGAGATATCTGTACCTCTATCTTCATAGCAGCATTATTTATTATAGCCAAGACATAGAAAAAACCTAAGTGTCCATTGACAGATAAATGAATAGAGAAGGGATGGTATATTTACACAATGGAATATTATTCAGCCATAAAAAAAGAAAACCCTGCCATTTACAACAACTTGGGAAAACTTTAAGGGCATTATGCTGAGTAAAATAAGTCAGAAAGAAAAAATACAAATACTGTATATCAAGTACATGTGGAATCTAAAAAAAATAAAACTAAACTCATAGAAACAGAAAGTAGATTGGTATTTTTCAGGGGCAGGGGAAGGGGTTTGGGGAAAGGGTAAAGGTGGTCAAAGGATATAAACTTCCAGTTATAAGTTCTAGAGATGTAATGTATAGAATGGTGACTATAGACTGTATATTGGAAGTTGCTAAGAGAGTAGATCTTAAAACCTAATACACAAGAAAACTGTCATTAAGTGATGTGATTAATGTGTTAACTAATCTTATTGTGGTAATCATTTCACAATATGTACATATATAAAATCATTATATTGTACACCTTAAACTTACACAAAGTTATATGTCAATTATAATCTCAATAAAGCTGGGGAGGGGAGAGAAAGAAAGGCATGAGGAGTGGACTAGAAGAAGGAGAAAGCAACTAACCACAGCCTAGATTCAGAGGCCATTTCAGCTCCTTTTTTAGCACTCTAAATATCCTGGGCTGGGTGCTACATGACACACTCTCCATCTTTTATAATTTTTTACAATTAAAAAGATGAGAAAAATAAACTAGAAGCAAATCTGTCAATAACTTTCTAAAAATCCACTAAATTTGCCAATAGTAATAATAATTTAAAGACAAAAGACACTACAAATGATATACTTATGCTGTTTTTTTTAAAAACATATTTTATTGATTTTTCACAGAGAGGAAGGGAGAGGGATAGAGAGTTAGAAACATCGATGAGAGAGAAACATCGATCAGCTGCCTCATGCATACCTCCTACTGGGGATGTGCCTGCAACCAAGGTGTATGCCCTTGACCAGAATCGAACCTGGGATCTTTCAGTCTGCAGGCCGACGCTCTATCCACTGAGCCAAACTGGTTAGGGCTACTTATCCTGTTTTATGAGAAGCTGAGGATCAAATGTAGAGACATTGATTTATATTTTGCAATCTTGTGTTTACACAATGTCATGTTATAAAGACTCTTAAACCTTTTGAGAGTATGACCAACAACACACAAAGAATGGTGGTCTCCGCTAACAAAGGAGAAGGGCCATTGAAGCAATCATTTGAATGAGACTTACCTAAAGACTCATTCTGTCCTATGCCCCTATGATTCTACAGACACCGCCAGCATTTCCTTGTAAGAGAAATCAAATTAAAGAACATGAAGGCAGTTATTTTTATGGAAATGAAACAAATGGACAATGAGAAGTGTCTAATATTCATTAATCCAACATTTACTACACACAAGCATTATTACACTAGTTTAGCAAAGTACAAAGTATTTAAAAGGACTAAGACAGCTTCTGCATCCTAAGAGCTAACAATCTAAAAAGTAAGGTTAACATGTAAACATGTTAGAAGCTGTTATGGAAGAAGAGTGGAGATTATGCCAGAGGGAGAGTAAGGAAAAACTTACCCCTTTGCTTTGGATATTGAAACGTACTATCTTCTAAGGGTAATATGCCATGCTCTCCCACAAAATAGCCACGATGCCCTCAAATACTAGAAGAATATACTAATGTGAAAGAAAATATATTAACAAGATTAGATTTTTTTGTATAAATTTACCCTATTATTAGAAAGACCATATAGGTTTCATGATTAAATACTACATATTATAGTCCTCCTGTAGGACTATGAACATTAGCAAATTAGCAGCTCTAAGAAGTCCACTACAAAAACAAAAGCACAATACTACTCAACCTGCATTTCCCATTTTAATAAACCAGGGAACCCTTTTCTAGAGTAGCACCTATAAACAATCTTGGGAACAAATTTTGGGAAAACAAGTTGTACAACCTCAATGGCACTAAGTTGCTGCTAACACTGCAGAAGAGGACGAGCCCAATGACAGCTTTTTGTGCTTGGCCTCCTTTAAGTTGGTTTCATTAGTTGCATAACATTTCAGTAGTTCCTTAACAAAAGTAAGCATACAGGTATCTATAATACAAGATCAAGCAAGAAGAAAAACACAAACCCACAGATAACACCTGATTTCTTGTTTTGATCATAAATGTTGTTCTTCTGAAATGTTAACTCTTATCAGAGATAAACTTTGAGAGGCGCCAATGCTGGGGCCTGATGGGCTATAAGTCTTGGCTTATGGCTGTGCAAACATGGAAATGTCAATTATTGAACCATTCTTGTCATGTGATGGAGAAAAACTATGAAAATGAAACTCTTCAGTTGCAGTCTCAAGAAACTGCAATAGCTACTAGTAAGCCCATCTAACCAAAGACTCATTTGTACCAATTGGTCCCATTTCTCACATTGTGCCAAGGTGCCTGGACTCTAACACAAACACACTTATGATATTTTAGCTGACATAGGGTTTCATAGTAAACCTCTGCTCATTTCATTAACATGTATTTAAAATGTTCAGATACCACACTAGATAGCAATAAAGCCAGATTAGTAAAACCTTCTCATGACCAACAAAGAACCATTTTTTACCCACAATTATTATAGAAAGTTTCTTTTCTAAAAGATTCTACAGAAAAAGACCAATTGCTTAAATCAGATTCGTCACTGGCTTTAGGACAAGAGATGCCAGGTGAATGTTTCCATTGCTTTCTCCTTCTCTGACCCTGTCAGGTCCCCTTCAGTGATGCTGGGAAATAAATGTTCCTTACAGAGAACTCAGCCAACTCACAATTTCCTCTGTGTACTTAATTTACGAGATTGATGAAATACTGGAGAGACTATACTATGGGCTGGTTCTATTCTCTCATGACAGTCATTTGCCATCTCCTGGTATGTGCATAAAAATGCAAAACACTTCAAGTACTAGTCTAAAATGAAACAAAGAAACTGCCTCAAAATATACATGTTAATGATCAAGACTCTTACCACAGATGCCTTTCCATTAGCATGCTAGAGTTGACTACTTTTTGAAAGATGATCGTGTTTGTGTGAAGGGGTGGGTGGAAATGGGCACTGCAGTCAGAAAACCTGCATATGCCCAACTCTACTTATCAAGACTGTAACCTCAGATGCCAACAGCTCACCTAAAATTAAAGGGTTGGACTGAATAATTTCTAGTGTTCTCTAGTTCTAAAGAATTCATAACTTTCATTCCTTATTGTGTCATCAAATATTTCATTGTGTTTTTAAATGATTAATGGTTAAATTACAAAAATCCATTAATTCCTCTAACCTATGATATTCCTATTTGCCAGGTTTATCTTTGAAACTGTTAGCACACAACTATGGTAGTTTTAACTTCTCATTTTATTTGCAGATTCTAGCCCGAGGCAAGTTAATTGCATAGCTGATACAGCTCAGTATACAGAATGCACTCCTGCAGCATTAGACACATTTTCAATTCACTGAATTATGCTTTTAAAGCCTATAGTAAAACCTGCCACTGTCATCTAAAAGTGGCTCTTAAATGCAGTCCATCCAAGAAATCATCTCAGAAGCTTGACAGAAATGCAGATTTCTGGACTCCAGAATCTGCACTTCAACACATATTCTGGTAATTCTTATACCGCCAAAGTTTTAGAAATATTGACTGACAGAGATGTAAATATTAACTAGAAACTTTTTAAAAATAACTATTGAAAAAATGGGGCACAACCCTGAATATTAATTTGGGGTTTTTATGATTTATTAACTTTGTTTTGAAAGTTGCATAAAATTCTGCACCTTAAGAATTTTCTGACAAGCTCTCCCTAGCTATACAGTAAGCAATGTTAAGACTGTAACTGTTAAGTACAGTGCACTCTTGGAAAATGTACTCAAATCTCTAAAACAAATGTATAAAAAATACAATAAGCAATTCACATCTTTATCTCCTATGGTTAGGCCAAGATGGCTTTTGTTTTTGAAGTGATCCACAAAGCCAAGATTGAGGTTTGAGAGGAAGGCACCAAGGCATCTGCAGCCACAGGTGTGTTCATAAAGGGAATTGAGCTGTCCACATAGCCCCACTGCTGTCTATATCTAGATTTAGCCAGTTCAATCTTCATACTTCTAAAGTTTCCTACTGAAAACCCCAAGTGCAGACGTGGTACAGCATTTAAAAAAACACGTTAACAGAGAACAGTTTTTGAAAACTAATGGAAGAGATACTCATTTTGAAAAAGATTTGTACCATCAACCCCATAAAAGGAATAGTCATTCTGAAAAAATAGGTATCTTTTCTCTTTAAAAATTTCCCCTAATATCACCCCAAAATTAGGATGCTTTTACTTCTTCAAAATCAAGGGACTTCATATCCAACTTTAATAGTAACTTTCTTCAAATGAATAGAAAATGCAATGGGGTTCTTCTGTTTTTAATTTATCTTTATTATTGAAAGTATTACAGATATCACTTTTAATGGGGTTCTTCTATTATCTTTCCTGCAGTGCTATCGTTACTAAAAAGGTCTCAGATCCCTATTTTTAAAGCAAATCGGCCATACATCTTTTTCCTGAGCACAACACTGGCATTACAGTTTTTGTTAGAATCAGCCTCTCTCTAGCAACAAGGGCTCATTTATCCACAGTAGCCTAACAAGCATTCCCTCTAGCTAGTTTCCATGGTGCTTCATATCCCAAGAAAGGAGAACATTTCATAACTAAAGGGAAACTAATATCCTCTGTGGGTTTTCACCATTCTCTCTCAAGCTCATTTGTAGTTGATGTACATTTTTAAAATTCAAGTTTTTACTTCTGGGGAGACTTAGAAAAATCACAAAAGTAAAATAAATGATAAGTCTTGACTTTTTCCTTGAACTTGTTGCCCAGTCCATTGTCATTGCAGGATAAAAGACAGTTCCTTCAGACCACTAGAGTATCCAAGAAGTCCTCTGACTCTCAGCAACCCTAATGGTCTAGTAAATGCATGCACTCAGATTTCTAGTCTTTCTGTTGTTCTTAAGTTTGCTGAAAAAAAAAAAAAAATTCAAATGTTTGCCCTTGTAATTTTAATCCCCCTATACCTCATCTTAATTCAAAAAAATGGTACAGTACAGGCAAATAATTAGCACATAAGAACAAGCCCAGAAGTCCTTAAATGTCAACAACACTGAACAAAGTATTCAAATTATTCCTCTTAATGTTCCCCCTCCTCCTATGGCAACTATTTATCAGCCTAGGAAGGAAAAGAGATTCTCAGTAAAGAGTTGTTGGCAAGTCTAAATGTGTTCAAAAGAAATAGTATGGAACAAGACTAATAAAATCAAGCAAAAATGGATCTACTTTAACTAAACATCAGGCATTATTTTTATTTATGGAGAGAAAAAAGTCAAAAGTTAGAATCATGAAAATTAGGCATAGGCTTTACACAAATTTTTAAGGAAATATTGTCAACATCATTTTATCTGAGAATCATTTGCATACTGCTGCAAGTTGTGCTAGAAATCAAAGGAACACTTTTGTGACAAAAAGGATGAAAATGATCATTTTGGGATTATTTGGGGAGAAAAGGTCCATCAACAGATATGTCCTGCTAGTAATCATCCCAACCCCATACATATTATTAGATGAAAATGACACATATCACTCAGAACAAGCAACAGAGAGCCCTCTCTTAGAAAACATACATGTAAAAAATGAAAGATGACAGGTTCTACTCCCTTCAGACAGACAGGAGACTAAATTGGAACAGAAAGGTCATTGTCAAAAGCTGATAGCCAATTAAAGTTGATGACAGTTACGAGAACAATTTCTTTCTTGGAATTTAACTGCATAAAAATGACTGTAAAATCACCCTAACCGGTTTGGCTCAGTGGATAAAGCGTCGGCCTGCGGACTCAGGGGTCCCAGGTTCGATTCCGGTCAAGGGCATGTACCTTGGCTGCAGGCACATCCCCAGTGGGAGATGTGCAGGAGGCAGCTGATCGATGTTTCTCTCTCATCGACGTTTCTAACTCTCTATCCCTCTCCCTTCCTCTCTGTAAAAAATCAATAAAATATATTTTAAAAATGACTATAAAATCTTTGTAGTAGTAAAGGACACACTACCATTTCGATGATAGTTTGTAGAATTGCCTTAGTAAACAGAGAATGAAAACATAAGGCTAATCCAAAACCAGTGACATAATCTGCTGCACATCTATAGTCCCTGTGAATTAATTTACCTCTTTCTCAGAGATACTTACCCACATCACACAAGTGGATGGACACTCTTCTGGTGACAGGGGTATTGAAGAGATAAAAATGAGTCTCAGCCTTCAGTATACCAAATTGATCAATCTTACTAATAAGGGCAAATAATGACTCATCAATTGACAAATGGGACACATGAGACCATTAAGAAAAACTCTTTATCTCAAGATTTAACTGTTGAAAAATATAATTTGTCCAGCCTAGTCATCCAGCGAGCTGAAAGGCCTAAAAGACATATTTCACTCAAATATAGTCCACTTCCCCTTTGCTTATAAGAATTCTACAGTATTTCACTAATTGAAATATAAGCTAAGTTTCTTAAAATGCAGAAAACCTGATAGAGGTGGGATATTAAGCTTGAATTTCAATGGGTTTCAAACCTTGTGACTAGGTTTTAGGATGAGCGTGTAGAGTACTGTGGCAGAAATTGACAAAAAGAGGTTGAATAAACTGCTTCTTTACAACTCTTTCTAAGGTTCATCCCCCCAACAATGGATTAAAGGTCAAGAGTCTAAAGGATTAGTAGCTCATAAGCAACTTTTGAAATGAAAATTAGAATTTTTTTGATAAGGACACTAAATATTGGAATAGACTGAATCCCTTTCCTAAATATTCTTAAGCATGAATTTTTATCTGAATGACTTGTATGTAATCCCTTCCATTAATCTCAGAATATAAACATTTATATATAATTTAAGACCAGACAATATATTCTGGATTTTGTGTAACTCTTGCTGAATTTAGCAATGTGACTGTAGATAATTACCTTAACAATTCCATCTATTAAATGACATCCTGCTTTAAAGAAAGTTAGTAGAGGTAAAAAAGGTTTAAAGAATTGCATATGAAAATACTATGTAACATTATACATGCTTCTTTTTCTTGACAGGGTTTATCTTCAGTATTAGGAGAGTTTCAAATCCCCTAGACTAAAAAAATTAACAGATCTCAAACATGTTCTCCACTTTCATCTATGCTTTTCTTCATAAAAAGTTACAATTTCATTACCCTATACCCTTGAAATGTAAAAACTGTTCTACTAAAGTGTAAAAAGATAAGGGTATGTAATTTTCAAATGTTATGAACCTAAAAATACTTCAATTTTACTATAATTTTATAAATTTATTTCACCCACTTAATCTAAATGCATTTTTCTTTTTCTACCGGCTACCCCAAAGCACTACAAGGCACAGCAGTGATATATGAATGGTGAGTCAGGTTATAGGGTCGTGTCCTCAGTAAGGACATGAGGCCACTTTACTGAAGGTGGACAATGAAGAGTGTTTGTTTTTCCTTGTCCCAGGTAAACGGGGGTAATGCAAAATGAGCCAAGTCATCCTAATGTGTTTCCTTTTCATTTAGCTTCAAATAAAATGGAGAGTTTATGTATGAGAATAGCAGAGAACAAAGAGATCCCCCTTGAACTCCCAATTTATGGGACTTTTGTAAGCATGGCATCAAGCTGCTAACAGGAAGCTATTTCAGAGTATGTGATGTTCCCCAAACTTACAACTCCCTAACAGTTTCAACTCTGAGCCATCTATAATCCTAGTAAGAAAGGAAAAGGGGTTGAAGGGAAATAAGGAAACCAATAATGTCCAAAGGTGTCTGCTTTTTAAACAGCTTTTAAAGTATCTGCCTATCTGCTACAGATATTGTTGATTCCATCCTCTGGGAAGAAATGGGAGTACTTTGGCATGACCAACAAAAGATAAGAACATATAGAAAAAAGACAATGCAGATTATGTACCAAGTAATTACAGTTAGGTTTAACAAATATGAACTTCAAGTGGTGTATTTTTTTCAATGCTATAAAGCAAAGCTTTTAAAATTCCATTACCTTAAGATAGTTTTAAATGATTTCTTTAAATGTGATTATTTCCTAAACCACACAAGAGTAAAATAGAGCATTTATTGATGGAATAACAAAAGTGCTTTTCTTAAATATTCTTCAAAATACATTTGTACAACTTACAATAATATATCCAAAATAACTGTATATACAAAACATTACCTAGTTTTAATGTATGTGCTTTTTTCCCCAAAAATTACAAAGTAACTTCTTTTTTATTTTTTTGGCAAAGTTCAACCTTAACAGAGGTGACAATTTTAAAGGTTGGTTTAAGAAAATAGAACCTGAGGGAAATTGACACGCAAGAGTCAATGACAAGCAAGAGATTTGAAGGAATATTTTTAAGTTTGTTAAATAAAAATGTTTTTTAGAGTGATACTTTTCACATTACAAAAATAAACCAAAATGAAAAGGTCACTGTAAAATGATGAGAAAGGTTCTGTAGACTTGCTCTTAGTATTTCAAATAGCCAACAATGCATGTCAAAAAATGAATGCAAAATCACAACAGTCTTGTATTTACTTTGTATTTGGAGAAGATATAGTGAAATAAGTGGCCACATTCTGTTTTCTTTTAATTGCTATTAATATGGTTGATCTGATTGGCTCTTCGATGAATTTCATCCAAGAAGTTCTCCAGTTGTTCTATTAGCATTCGTTTTTTAAACCTGTATAAAAAAAATAATAGCACTCTCAATTCCTTTTTAATGAGTAAGTTATACATCAGTATGTTTTTCTTAAAACAGAAACTGCCTTGGGAAGATTTTTCAAAGAGAAATAAAAATTAAAAATCAACAACTTTATGATATATGAAATCTCCTGGAAGACTAGCAAATTATTTTTATCAGTACTGTATTATAATTTGTTCCTAAAACAAACAATCCAGGCCTAAGTACAATGGGAAAGAGATTATTCCTTCCACAATAAAAAAGAAAAAGGAAAAACCTAATATATACAGGATTACTAATACTGCAGCAAAATTAGGACTCCCAAAGCAATGAATCCAATAGCTTCTTCTTATATTCTTTGAAAGTTGAATGTTAAAAGGAATGTGAACAAAGTATGAATATAATCCCTCACAAAATGTTAGATGAAATGAAAGCTGGGTAGTAGCACTTAAAAGCCACAGTGTTCTACTGTTATAATTTGAAAGCTAGTAAATCAAGGATAATTAGACATCTTTAGTATAGAATATAATGAATAGTGACCGTTCAAGCTGCAATTTAAAAATTTTTTCAGTAATATAGTTCACTGAAACTGCATTTGTCTACATAGCACTAATACTGCTGATGCTTTTTAGAATATCCCAAAACACTGCCTAATCTATACCCACTTTTTCTCTATTTGTAACCACTATATTATTACATAACTCTCTAAAATAGCGATTCTCAACCTTTTCATCTCATGGCATACATAAACTAATTAGTAAATCTGCAGCCCACCAAAAAACACATTTTTGCCAATCTGACCAAAAAATAGGTCTAATTTTGATTCATGCACATTGATTATTGTTGTGATGGCTGATGTCATTTTTTAATTTGACAATGTAAGGGAAAAGAGGTCAATGCCCCTGACTAGTCAGGTACTGCAGAAGTTTTTAACTTCTTGAGGCACACTGGTTGAAAATTGCTGCTCTAAAAGGTGGTAGAAGTAAAGTTCAGGCACCAGGAATATAGCTAAATCCATGATGACATCCAAGATGACAGAATGTTATGTAAAGAGCAGAATAGATTAAATACTCAAAACAGATAATATGAAAAGTTATCGCCTTATCTTGCACCTTCAAAGTAGCCTATGCTGTAGCCTCTTTCTTACACACACACACACACACACACACACACACACACACACACACACAATGAACTGCTCAATATAAAACAAACTTTGAGTGTTTTGAGCATGGAAGAAACTGAGGGACTAATTAAAAAATGGGTATATTGGGAAGGTCAGATAAGATAAACTCTGTTTTCTTAAAATATTAAAAGTCTTAAAGGAAAAATAAAACAAATTTTTATATTCACTAAACTTATAAAACTATGCTTTCCAGTTAACTGTATTATGGAGTTACCATTTATAATCTTGATTCACATTCCTTGTACTAAAGTACATAATCCTGGGCTACTGAAGCAATCAGAATAAGGCCCATTTATCTGACTCTGGTCCCCTTAATTACAAGTTTTCCCCCATACAAGTGAGCTACATTAAAATATTGCCTTTTGAGGTTATTACTAATCACTGATTAATATTAACAGTAATCCAAATATACAAAAGAGAAAAATTAGAGGCTGTTAAATATACAGACATCAAAAGCCACAAGAGTAGGAAAAAAGAATTATGCAAGTACCTATACTTCGTAGGAAGAAAAGATTCAAGTTCTAAAGAATTTTTGTGTGGCTGTTTTTTAAGTGAACTTCTTTCAATAAATTACAAAAGAGAGAAGTGCTTATGTGTGTGTGTGTGTCACATACATGCATAGCACAATACATATTGTTAAAATACTTCTTATAATGTTCTATAGATTATTTACCTTGATGCTTCTTTAATGACATTTTGTAAAAATATTAGTCTTGTTTGTAAACTGCCTTGTACATGCTTCAGTAAAGTGAAGATTCTTTCATATTCTTAAAAGAGAAGCAAAAAGAAAAATTAAGTGGCTTTCATTTGCACTCATATTTATTATTTTTCTATTTCAGTTTACAAGATATACTAAGACAAAACCAAAAATATTCTACATAAAATTTTCACTGCTCATTGAAGACTTTAATTTGTCAAACACTGCTTTTTTAGTAAAAGTTCTCATTAAAGTTCCAAAGCTTAGAAGGGTGAATAAATAGCTTTTTGGTATTAGCTTTTTGGTATTGCCACTGAAAAGTAAGACACAAGTGGCCTTAACAAAAATGAACCCTTATAATGAAAATTGTAAACTATAGCCACCATAGGGAAAGGGGGTTGGGTGTTGGGGGTATAAGGAGGAAAAATAATAAAATAGAGTAAGAGTGACTATTTTAGTTTCAAGTTTTCACACAAAACTCTGCTAACGACTGTAAGATCCTAAATGGCAAGGACTGAGTCTTACCCATTTCTGGACCATCATAACAAGTGATCTGTCGACACCTTCTGAAAGAATGCCAGTTGATCCTGAAACTTTATCCCACAAAGTTCTTTTCTTTTCATGTAATACAGTGGTTCTCAACCTTCCTAATGCCTCAATCCTTTAATACAGTTCCTCATGTTGTGGTGACCCCCAATTTCATTGTTACAAATTGAACATAATTAAAGCATAGTGATTAATCACAAAAACAATATGTAATTATATATGCATTTTCCGATGGTCTTAGGCGACCCCTGTGAAAAGGTCGTTCGACCCCCAAAGGGGTTGTGACCCACAGGTTGAGAACTGCTGATATAATAGATAGCTTTCCTAACTTTAGTTTTTTTATCTAAACACATCCCTGGTCACCATAATAATTTAAATCTTAAACACAGTGGTCGCACTATGCCAAGAACTTTAGAGACATGAAGTCATTTAATATTCCCAACATCTTTTTGGGTTTGCTGTTACATTAAAATTTCAGTTGCTGGCTAGGAGAATACTAAAGACTATGGGTTCCTGTCATGGTAGGAACTATATGTAATTTATGTGTGCTCTTCCTGTGTTCTCAGTCCCTCCTGCTTATCATACTTAGCATAGTACTTTGGATATAGCAAGCAGATATTTGTCAGCTAAACAAAGAATCAAATCCCACATATCTATATATATAAAAGCCTAAGCAATCGTCCGACTGGTAGCTATGACGCACACTGACCACCAGTGGGCAGATGCTCAACACACAGGCATGGAAACAACAGACTGATGAATCTCAGAGGGAAGGGGGAAATGGGGAGGGTGGGAAGAGATTAACCAAAGATCTTATATGCATACCAGAGGCCCGGTGCACAGATTCATACACTGGTAGGGTCCCTTGGCCTGGCCTGTGGGGATCAAGCTGAAACCAGCAGTCCGACTTCCCCCGAGGGGTCCCGGTTTGTAAGAGGGTGCAGGCCAGGTCGAGGGACCCCACTGGTGCATGAATTCATGCACCAGGCCTCTAGTAGCTTATATATTGTTCAAGACTGATCTAGAATTAGATATAAGCTTTTAGTTAATTTTCTTTTTTTTGAGCACATACAAAATAAAATTTGAGGTTTGTGTCTAATTATACATACTTCTTCCTGGCTTTCTAATCTCTTTCATTATTTGTGCTTTTAGTTCAGTGTTGACTTTTTCGTGGCTTCTGCAATGCATCAATTTCTTCCCTTTGTTGAGTGAAGATGCTGGTATATTCTCTTCAGGGCATTGTACTTTATCTCTTGGCTCCTCATGATTTTCCAAAAATCCACCAACAGTGAGGTCATTAGTTCCTAAATGATCATGACCAAGAGTCTCTGTATGATTGGTTGGTCGTTCCAGTAAATTGGCTGGAGAAGATGATGTTGAAAATTCAGTATCCATAGCATTTGGTGTAATATCTGATGAAAGTTGGTCAGCAACATGATTTTCAACCACATCATCTATTGTTGAATCATTACTGGCTTCTGAAACTAAAAATAAAGATAAGGGGGAAAAATTATGAGAGACGATTTCAAAGTACACAGTAAACAAAACTCCAAAGAAATATTGCAACAAATTACAACTGATCATTTTCACAGATGCAAACTAATAAATAATGTGATGTGATGCTTAAACTTTGATAAAGATATGGTGGATTCAATGTGAAACGTTCACAATATTTATAAAATCTGTACAATTTTTGCTCGTAGAGAGGGAAAAAATAAAAGCAACTTCAACTTTTACTTCTCTGTTTTTCTATGGCAATTTTATTGAACAAGTACGGTTTTAATGTTTTAGGAAAATATATATGATCAAGATTGTCATGCTTATCTTTTCTTTAGCTCTAGCTCATTCCAACCTATAGCTGCCTTATATATCTGTTGTCACTTAGAGGCAAAAGTAAACACAGGGAGTTTAACATGTTCAATGGTCTTTAGGGAACATACCACCAAACAGGTCATTTTACAGTACACCCTTTTCTTATACTCATCATCTGGTCTTCATTACTGGAGTAATGCAGAACAATCTGGTACGTACTTCAGCTCATTAGACAACTAGACTTAAAAACATGCCATCTTGCCATTTATATTAGATTATTACACTTACTCCCCACAGAAAGCTGAATTCTAAGTTCCTTGATGGCTCACTAAACCTCTAAGACAACAGCTGAATTATCACTTCTCTCACTTATTGTCCAAAATGTACTCATCCCCACAAAAATCCCTTGAACTTCTGACTCTCTTAAATCCTATTCCAGAATATGCAAACTTTACTGACTGTCTTCTACAAGTCATTTTTAGTTGAAACCAGCTCTCCTGCAAAGAAACTGCTCTCCTTTTCAGACCTGAAATAGAAACTGCTTTCTCTTAAACACTCTCCATGGATGTGGACTGATTCTTTCAACTCCCAGTACCACATCAAGATCCTTTTTCCATGCACTCGTTAAAACTCTTGCTCTTTTGAGGCTCAACTCTGTCACTTCACTCATCCTCTCTCTCCTCATCACTATCTTTATCGATCTCTAGGCATACCTCTGTGGTCACGATGTCTCCAGTACCTAGTTCACAACTTCCTCCCACCCCCATGTCCCTCAGGACCTCATTCTAGGTCCTTACTACTCAAAGTGTGGTTTGTAGACAAGAAGCATTACCACCATAAGACAGCTTGCAAGAAATGCTCATCTAAGGCTCCACCCCAACTCAATGAATCATAATCTGTAGTTTTACCAGGCCCCAGGTGATTCACATACACATTCAAGTCTGAGAAGTGCTGTAGTGTGTGACTTCAATGTCTGAGAAGATAACCTACCTACACCTGGCCTCCCAATTCCTTAATTACTTATCTCCAAAGAACTTTTCCACCTATATGTTTGCCTCTCAAGTCAAACACAAATTCTGGATGAAGAGGAACCTTATCTTTGTACTGCCCCTGCTATTGCTCTTTAACTCAGCCAGACTTTTACTCCAGAGACTCCTCCACTTTCCTCCTCCTATTAATCAGATCCTTTCTAAATAACCATTTTCTTATCTATCCAATGTATATCCCATAATGTATCACTTTTTAGCAATGTCTTAAATTCTCTCATTCTTTTATCCCATAACACTAGCCAGGCAAAACCCCACATTTGATGACTCTATCCATCTGCTTGTTCCAAACCTGCATTTGGAAGGATGAGCACTACTCGAGAAATACGATCACAATCACTATCTATACTTGATCTCAGCACTGCTTTGCAATCTTATAACAGACTTTTCTACCTCTTCCACAAGAGATCATTTTAATCTTCTCCCCTCTCTTCATATCTCTGATTTTCACAATCTCTCCTCCCCTCTCAGCAGTAGACATCATCTCTTCCTTTACAGAAGAAAGAAAAGTAGAGGCCTAAGATGGGAACTTCCCCTGCTTCCCATCATTAAGCTTGCATCCACACCTATTAGGCTTCAATGGAAACAGCATTCTTTCATCTGGGGTTTGGACCATTCCCTTTACCTTTCTCAGTGATTTTGTGCTGATTATGCTTTTTCTCATCTTCATTTTCAAATATTCCTATCACGCCCGCATTTAAACATGCTCACCTCTCTATCAGCTTAAAAATAAAGCAAAATCACCATTTTAACCCCATAACCTCTTCTAGCTCCCACTCTCTTTTCCCACCTACCCTTCACAGCTAAACTTCTTCAACTGGTTGTTTACATGCACTGTCTCCATTTTCTCATCTTCCATTCTTCAACCCCTTTACTACACCAAAATTGCATTTGCTAAGATAATCAAAGACTAACAGAACCTTTCTAATCTTCTTCTTGGTTGATCTGTTTAAGAAGTATCTGAGGAAGACAAAATGGCAGAAGGACAGGTAGACGTGTCCCAAGCCTTGTCCAGGAACAGAGAGAAGGCGCAAATAAATCGAATAACATCCACCTTGAATTGGCAAAGTAGGTACAGCTGGTGAGACAATTCACAGCTGGGAAGGGCAGAGGACGCCTGGACAACAGTAACATCAGGGATCTGGGCTGGAGAGAGGTGCAGGACCTCCAAGCCCAGAGGGTCAAAAGAAAGCCACATGGCACCAAGGCCGTGTCCCTCGAGACAGGCGTTAACATCTCACTGTGGAAAGGAAGTCCACATGGCTGTTGGTGGCAAGGGATTCTAGATCTAAGCCCACAGCCATGAGAGGCTGAGCCCAGAGGGGGAAGCCTGAACAACTGCCCAAGCCATGCTATACTGGGGGAGAGGGACTCGCAGTGGCACAGCTCTTTTCCAACTTGTTGGTCTTTGCTTTTATTCGCTAAACTCAGTTCATAGGACCTTTCAAATACAAACACTCACCCATGGCTGAGGTGCAGGTGGAGTTGTGGAGTCTGGGGAGAGGCTGGGAGAGGTGGCCGGGGGTCTGGCACTGAGACATACATGAGACACCAGACCTAAGCAGCCATCTTCTCCTGAAGAAATAGACCCTCCCTGCAGTCTCCAGGCAACCAATACAGCCACACCCAGACTACACCCTGAGTGTTACAAAGGATAAATATATATATATATATATATATATATATATATATATATATATATATATATATACACACACACACACACACACACACACACATATATATATATATATATATGAATGGTCCCTGATAGCCCTCAGGGACTGGGCTGAAGAGAAGCCTTTCAGTCCCAGCAACCTCCCCAACTATAGACCTGTCAGAAACAGCTGCTTGAGAGATTAAGATTGACAGTGGGCAGACAGGCTAAGTGGGCAGACTGGTTCCACCTGCTGGCAGTCAAGGCTGTGGAGATAGACACAGAGGAGCGGTGGACCACTTGGAACTTCAGCAACCTAACAGGAAACTGAGAAGTGGCAGGCAGTACATAAGAGTGGGATCTTAAACCAGCCCCCATGGGGCATTAAAACTTGGCAGAAATGAACCACACTTCACTTTTTCATTTTTATCTTTATTTCATTTTATTATTATTTTGTTATCTTTTTTTTTCTTTTTTCTTTATTTTCCTTTTTTGTCTGTTTATTTTTCCTTTTTGCATTATTTTTTCATCATGCTATTTTTAATATTTTTATTTTATCTCATTTTTTTAATTAATTGTTTCTCTTCCTTCTCTTTTTCTTTCTTCTTATCCACTCATCCTCTTTCTACTTCCTCTATACTGAACTGAGGTCCTCCCCATATTCATCCAATTCCTTAACCTTACTTTCTGTATATAAGCTTAGCCTCTACAGATTCTGCCCCCACCCTTTTTTCTGGGTGTTTGGTATTTGCATTTTTTGGTTTTTCTGTTTGTTCTGTGGTGTTTTATCCCCATATGTATATTTCCCTTTTTCTTCTTCTTTTTTTTTCTTTTCTTACCATTTTTTTTTCTCTTCAATATCATTTGTGCTCTTTTTTCTCTCCCCTAATTCTCTGGTGGTCACTTATATTGGGGTTATCAGTGTTGTGAGTGCACTTGTGTTTTGTTCCCTTTGTGTCATGTCTTGTCGAGTGACATTTTGTCCTGTTTGGTCAATGTGGTAGAGAACGAGCCAAATAACCAGACACCCAGAGAGGAAACTCCATCCACGAACAGGTCAATAACACTGCAGACCCAACTACAGAGGCAGGAAGATGGTGGCAGTGAGGGAGAGAGCATGACTGAGTGAGGGAGCAAAAGGGGAGTATGTGGATGTATGTGTGTGTGGGGGTGTGTGTGAGTGACAGACAGATCCCGCAGGACCTTTGGGGGCAGACAGACCGGGCTCGCCTAGCGGGCAGCCTCTGCTATCATTACAAATAGTCCCTGTGCGGCCGGCTCTACTGCAGGGCACGCCTTCTTGAAGGGGAGCCCAGCCTTACCTCCACCCAGGGTGCCTTCAGACACCACCCAGGACTCTACAGCCACCCCCGTGAGGGACCTGCTGCCTCAGCTGAGGTTCCACAGTCACTGAGACTCCAGCCACCCCAGGCATGGGCTCCTGTGTGTTCCAAAGAGTGCTCCCCTGTGGCCAGCCCAATGCTTTAGCCCAGGGCGTGGCAACCACGCGAGCATCCTGCCCCCATCCCAGGAGCAGCAGCCATGCAAGCAGCCCGCCCCCATCCGAGGAGAAGCAGCCATGAGAGCAGCGCCTACCAGAGGAGCTGCTCCAACTGAGGAGCAGCAACTGCTGCAACCACCCGAGGAGCAGCCCCCGCATGACTCGACACATAGATCCTTTGGTGAGAGCAAAAATGGGGAGACAAAGAAACCCCCAAAGGAGAGAAAAGGAGAAATTGCCAGAAAAGGAGCTAAGTGAAACGGAGGATCATACAGTTCATAAACCGGGTGGATAAAAAAATTAACAAATTATTTAAGAACCAAGAAGAAATAAAGAGTGATTAGGCTGCAATAAAAAAAACTATGGAAAGTTTCAACAGTAGACTAGGAGAAGCAGAGGTCCAAATTAGCGGATTAAAAGATAGGGAAGCAAAACACACCCAAAATGAACTGCAATTGGAGAAAAAAATTAAAAGACAGGATGGAGAGCCTAAGGGAGCTTTGGGACAAAATGAAACGAAGCAACATATGAATAATGGGGGTGGCAGAACGACAGGAAGAGGAACAAGAGTTAGAAAATCCATTTGAAGAAATAATGTCAGAAAACTTCCCTGATGTGGGAAAGAAAAGAGTCACACAAGCACAGAGAGTCATGAACCCAAAAAGACCCACACCAAGACACATCATAATTACAATGGCAAACGTTCAGGACAAAGAGAGAATCTTAAAGGCTACGAGAAAGACAGAAAGTTACCTACAAGGGATCTCCCATTAGACTATCTAGTGATTTCTCAACAGAAACACATCAGGCCAGAAAGGAAAGAAGGAAGTTTACAAAGTGATGCAAAGCAAGGGACTGAATCCAAGAATACTCTATCCAGCAAGGCTATCATTCAAAATTGAAGGGGAAATAAGGAGCTTCACAGACAAAAAAAGACTAAGGGAGTTTATTACCACCAATCCAGCAATGCAAGAAATGCTAAAGGGACTGATGTAAAAAGAAGAAATAAAAAGGGAAGAAGGAACGCAGGTACAAAAAATAAAAATGTCTACAAAGAAGTACCTATCAATAACAACTTTAAATATAAATGCACTAAATGCTCCAATCAAAAGACATCGAGTGGCTGAATGGATTAGAAAACATGACCAATATATCTGCTGTCTACAAGAGACCCATCTCAGAACAAGGAACTTACACAGACTGAAAGTGAAGCGATTGAAATATATCTTCCAGGAAAATGGAAATGAAAAAAAAAGCTGGGGTAGCAATACTTATATCTGGCAAAATAGACCTCAAAGTGAAGGCCATAACAAGAGATAAAGAAGGCCACTTCATAGTACATCTTTTTCTATGCATTTTTCTGGAAACACACACACCAGATTCTTTGTCCTATAGTTTCTCATATATGATTTTACTAATCTTATCCATCTTTTGTCATTTAACATGCTCTGTCCCTTATATTTCCTATAAATTGGTAGTTAGATCTAGAGGTGTGATCAGATTGATGTTAAAAAAAAAATTTGTGTGTGTGTGGAGGGATTAGGACTACTTCAGAGGTAGTGCTGCGTAATTCCATCAGGAGGTATATAAATATTTGTTTTCTCTCCAGTTAAAATGCTATAAGCCATGAATAATCACTACCTATAATTAACAAATCCATCAATTCATTAAGGGTTCCCTACATCCATTGTTATTCTTCCCTGATAAAATTCCACACATTTCATGGTCTTTATAAAATGCTAATCATATCTGGTCACTACTACCTCTTTAAACCTTTCAGTGGATTCTCAATGTCCTTAGAATAAAGTCTAGAACCTTTACAATGGCTTTCTGAAGGCCCTCCATGATCTGACTTCTGCCTATCCTTCAGTTTTCACCTTATCTCATTCCCAACACTCTTGCTGTACTAAAATTTTCAGTTCCTTCAATGTCCTTCTCTTTACCGTATACTCTTCTTAGACTACTCCTCTAGCATAGGCAAATGCACAGCTTTAGTTAACTAATTCCATTCACCCTTCAAGTGCTGGTTTAAACAACTCCCTAGTAAAGTGCCTTAAGCCTATACACCAAGTTAAATTCTCATGCCAAATATGTCCACAACATACTTGACGTCCCTTTCACCACACTTCTAATGAAATGTCCAATGACTTTCCTCATGCATTGTAAGTGAAAGCAGAAATCACTATCTTGATCACTGCTATACCTAAACAGCACAGGTATTTAATAACTGCCTGCATTAAACTGAAATTGAAAACCATCTTTCTATGGATATTGATAATATCCCTTTAAAAACTATTATTTTAAAATACTTAAAATTTGCAAATATTTTAGATCAGTGATCACCAACCTTTCGGAGCTCACAGACCACCAGTTGGCGACTGCTGTTTTAGATTATAAACACTAATAAAGCATAATGAAAATATAAAATGCTCAACAAAACATTAATTAAAAAGACACAAAAATAATTACATTGCCAATTTAGAATAAACATAACTTCTCTAGAAGCTCTTAGACTTTATCAGTGTTTTTCTATAATCTATTTAAAAATCTCTTCTTTGAAGAGCCAAAAAGCAGCAAATAATGTTTTTGTTGTTGATGTTGTTTTAAACTCTTACTTTTATGAAGAGGAAGGGGTTTAATAAGATCTGGCTGTGCTTGAGTCATAGGTATAGGTGGTCCTTTTCCTCCAATATGATTGTTCACAACTGGATTCTGCTGTCTGCCTCTCAGCAGTGGAGACATACAGCGACGTCTTTTAGGGATCCCTTGCATATTTGGTTCTCCAGGTCGTTTATGTTTATTTTGAGGTCCAGCCACAAATTCATCTGCTTCATCTATCATCATACCCTATAATAAAATACATAATTTCCTTGGATTTATATTCAGTTTTTAAATGGCACAACTAATTCTAATTTCCATGAAAACAACTCTATTTAACTATGTTGACATTTATTACGTACTCTACCAGGAAAATAGCTTTAGCTTACTTTAAATTCATAGTACCTAGCACAAACAAATTATATAATGGAATATTTCAAATTTACCTTTTTATCCAGCTTAAAAGGGTTGCCAAATGTATGTAACCTTCGAGGCTGATCAGGATCAAGTTCTCTTAGTGGAGAAGGTACTTGCTTGAGATATTCCTGGTAATTCCCCATTTGTGCTATAGGAACACTGTGTACTTGATCTTTTCGAACAAAATAAAGCAACAACAAAAGTTAACCTTACTAACACCTGTTCTAGTTATCACGTATCTTCTTATATATGAACTAGAGGCCTGATGCATGAAATTCGTACAAGAGTAGGCCTTCCTCTTCCGGCCCCACCAGCCCCGGCTGCCGGCACTGGCTTCTCCCTGGGCAGCTGGCAGGCACCCGGGACCTGGGTTTTCCTTGCAGCCCGGCTTCGTCCGGAAGGTTGTCTGGTCTATTTAGCATATTATGCTTTTATTATTATAGATGCTGCCTGGTGTTTGTTATTTTAGGCAGTCTTCTCTTACCACATACTCTAAATTAATGTGTTGCCATTATAAATATTGTGACATAAAACTCTGAGATTTTTAAAATAAAATTTAAAATCATTGATTTTATCTTCTAAACCAGTGGTTCTCAACCTTCCTAATGCCTTAATCCTTTAATACAGTTCCTCATGTTGTGGTGACCCCCAATTTCACTGTTACAAATTGAACATAATTAAAGCATTGTGATTAATCACAAAAACAATATGTAATTATATATGTGTTTTTCGGTGGTCTTAGGCAACCCCCGTGAAAGGGTTGTTCGACCCCCAAAGGGGTCGCGACCCACAGGTTGAGAACCGCTGTTCTAAACAAAACAAAAATATTGCAGCTAATTTCAGTGCATAGAATTAGCAATGTATAACCTTACCATGAAAAGGAATGTCTCTTCTACTCTATTCCAAATATACACAATTTAATTATAGAATTTATAGAAAAATCACATACATAACCCTTTTTTCATATATATATATATATATATATATATATATATATATATATATATATATATATAGTAGATGCTTACATCAGAGATAGAAAAAGGTCAAATTTTCATCTGACTTGATTTGTAGTAAGTGCCATGCATATGGTTGAAGGAAATATTAGAATTGTACAATTACTGGCCACCCAGAGTTAAACCATCAGATATTGGTATATCATAATAAAATAACTCAGTTTGTCTATGTGTCTGCATGTGTGAATGGACGAAAAATCGAGAAAGGAAACTAAGCTATTAACAAAGGTGGTTACATCTGGGGAATAGAATTTGGGGCAAATTCTATAGTGAAGGCAGAAAGAAATGTAAAGAATCGGGGATGACTTTTTACTTAATTTGAATTTACAATGAGAATTGTGCAAGAATTCTTTAAGAGTTACAGTATTACCCTATTGTGTTTTTATATAAAGAGAAAAATACCAATATTAAAATCATAATCTAACCTTCATCCTGTCCTTTAAGAAATCTTCGGGTGCTCTTCATAAGATTAAATCTCATTCTTGTTAAGTGATCCAAAAGATTCCGTCTAGGTATGTCATATGCATTTCTAAATGTCTGTGGCTTTAAATCCTATTGAAAATATTCAAAGACAAAAGTTATTTATAAACACAGAATTAAGAGACTACAATCTCTACCTTGCACATAGGTTTGAAAATAATATATACAAGTTAACTAATTACCTTAAAAAACAGAATAGAGCTGTGATGCAATCTTAAAGTACTGTTTTGGGAACCAAAAGATAAAAACTTGGTAGTGAGCTCAACCAAATAATCCCAAATTTACATCTAACTCAAGATTTTATTATATTTTCTGACTAAAAGAAGTACTAGTAAACACCCAAATTTTAAAGACTTCCAAGGTTTTATCTTATGCTTTGATGCATAATGTACATGCTATACAACTGCCTATTTAAGTATACAGTTCGATGAGTATTAGTAAATTTATAGTTGTGAAACAATCACCGCAATCCAGTTTTAGAATATTTCCATCATTTCAGAAAGTTCCTTGTGCCCATTTGTAATCAATTCCTATTATTAGCCCCAGGCAACAACTTATCTGCTTTCTGTCTCTGTACATTCCATTTCATAAATGGAATTTTGCAATATCAAAATTTTCTATCTGGCTTCTTTCACTAAGCATGATGTTTTTGAGATTCATCCATGTTGTTCAAGTGTCAGTAGTCTATTCCTTTTTTAATCACAGTAAAGTAGTATTTCATTATATGGATATGCCATATCTTTGACCTATTCACTAGTTGGTCAACACTGGACTGTTTAGAGTTTTGGAGTATTATCAATAATAATATCTACCCATTTATCTTGAGTAGATACTTACAATTGCTATACAAACAACATATATATTACATATATTAATATAATATATGAGAGTTCCAGTTGCTCTACATCCTCACCAATACTTGACATTTTTCAGTCTTTTAAATTTTAGCTATTCTAGTGGGTATAAAATGGGACCTCATTATGGTTTTAATTTCCATTTCCCTAATGATCAATAAGGTTGACTGTCTTTTCATGTGCTTGTTCAAGTTTGTATATCTTATCTGGTGAAGTATCTGTTCAAATATTTGCCCTTTTTTTATGGGGATGTTTATCTCTTTATTAGGTTCTATGAGTTCTTTAAGGATTTTGATATTAAGTTCTTTATTCAATATGTGTTTTGTTCCCAGGTTATAAGTTCCTTTTAATTTTTCAAAGTTTCATTTGAATTAATAATTGCAATGAAGTTCAATTTATCAAGTTCTTTTTGTTTTGTATTTTAGAACTCTTCCATGATCCATGACCCAAGTTCATGATGATTTTCTCTAGTTTTCTTTTAGTTTACAGTTTTAGTTCTTACACTTAAGACCATGATCACTTCAAATAATGTTAGGTAAGGGTCAAGTTAAGTAATTTGAATATGGATATCCAATTTTTCTAGTGCTACTTGTTGAAAGGAGTGTATTCTCACTTACTGAATTATTTTGGCACCTTGTTAAAAATTAATTGACTTTGTGTGAGGGCCTACTTCTAGACTATATTCTGTTCCATTGATCTATATGTTTATCCATATGCCAACAACACAAAGTGTTGATCACTATAGCTTCACAGTAATTTTTATTTTTATTTAGTTATTTTTTTACAGTAATTTTTAAAATTAGATAGTTCAAGTTGTCCAACTTTATTCGTTTCCAAAACTGTTTTAGCTATTCTAGTACCTTTACACTTCCATATGAATTTTAGAATCAGCTTTTTTTTTTTTTTTATATAAAAGCTGCTGGAATTAGGTCTTTTTAATAGCAAGTATTCATAAAGCATTTTAGGATCACACTGTGCACCCAAGGTCATAAGTACCAAATTACAGTGACTCTACCATTAGCTATATAACTTTAAGCAATCTCTAAGCCTTTGTTTACTACCTTATAAAATAAATGGGTTGGTTTACTTTTTATCAATACATTCATTCACTCACCATGGACAGTTTTTTTGTTTTTTGTTTTTTTTTTAAGAACAGTTATTGATTTTTAGAAAGAGTAAGGGAGAGAAAGAGAGAGAAACATCAATGTGAGAGTGCAACATCAATTTGCTGCCTCCTACATGCTCTCCACTAGGGGTGGAGATGCAGTGGGGGATTGAGACCACATCCCATGCATGTGCCCTGACCAGGAATCAAACTGGCAGTCTTTCAGTGCACAGGAAGATGCCCAACCAATGGAGACCAGCCAGGGCTGTCTGTTTTAATTCTAAAATTCAATTATTCAATCAAAGTATAATGATCATTATTCTGCAGAGGCATAAAAAGTACTTCTGAAAATTTGGACAGTTTCAGTTAACAGAAAATTTGATCTATATTCAATATAACAGAATATAACTAGAGCAGTACTAAATTCATGTAACTATTACCTTATTGAGCAAAGCAACTTGGAACCCAGTGTATTCTTTCATGTTCAGGTCCAGCAGTCTATGAGGAACATCCTCTGAAATTCCCTGGAGGAGTTGTTGAAAATCTTTCCTATAGGCCATTGATAAACCATGTGATCGGCTTCGGACTTTAATTCCAGTTTCCTGTACTACTTTTTTGCCTACAGATCCAATGACTCGATCAGATTCTATTTTGGCCTACAGTAAAAAACAAACAAGAATATCTTGATATAATCTAAATTGGTAAATTAAATACTATAGTTTTAATCTTCTATAAACTAAACATTTATGTATTTTAAAAGTATATAAGAAATTAAAATCTCAAGTGACATACTTTATATCAACTACTTGGTAAATTAAACATAGTTTAAACAATGTCTTATGATTTTAAATCATTATTATAACCTTTTGGAGCAGGGTGAACAAACACAACTTTAATTGTATTTACCTATCTAATTTTTTTAAAAAATGTTTTTATTGATTTTTTTAAAGAGAGGAAAGGAGAGGAAGAGAGAGAGAAACATCGATGAGAGAGAAACATCCATCAGCTGCCTCCTGTATGTCCCATACAAAGGATTGAGCCTGCAACCAGCACATGTGTCCTGACTGGGAATTGAACTGGTGAACTGTAAGTGCATGGGACCATGCTTAATCTATGGAGCCACATCGACCAGGCTAATTGTATTTATTAATACCTACTATACTTAAACCATGAAATGTAAAGATGCCCTAAATGAAAATATGTATTTCTAATTCAGAGCTGATATAAAATTAGAAAAAAATCATTGCACCAATATTTACTTAAAGATATTAGTATATAACTAATGTTCATACATACAGTAAATGATGATGTAATTTTTCACTGGAAAGCAAATACCATTATTTTGACTCTTTACAACCTGCATTTCAATTACTGGTAGCAGTGAAAGTAGAGATGGCAGAAGTCCTGGGAAAATGTTGTATTTTATATGACAGTAATAACTTGGCAATGAGTTTAAACTCTATTGCTGAACTACCATAGTATCTGTTAATGTGATTTATGCCCAAAATAATAAAATTCAATGACTCTTACAAACATTTCAAACTAAACTACCATTTTGAAAGAAAAACACACACACTATAGGTCTTAAAGCACAAAAGAAACTGATATTTTATCCTAGAAAAATAACTTTCTAACATAAATTTCTCAAAGAAAACAAAGAATATTCACACAGAGGAAGTCTAGGAAGCCATTTCATAAACTAGGAATTATTACTTGAAATTAACATTTCAAATCATAGCATACCATGTACTTGAGACAGAATTATGGATATATTAGAGGCCTGATGCACGAAATTCGTACAAGACTAGGCCTTCACAGCCCGGCTGCCTTGGCCAGCCCTCACAGCCCCGGCTCTGTCCGGAAGGTATTCCAGAGGGTTGTTCCGTTGTTCGGCCATTTGGTCAATTTGCATATTATGCTTTTATTATTATAGATTATTATAGATGATATATGTGATTTTAAAATGTAATACAGTAATATAATGAAATTCTTTTAGGATTATCAAGAACTAATATCTGGTCTGCTAACCATCTTAAAAACCATTCAAAATATGTAATGGCTCTATTTCTTAACATTACCTGTTGACTCAATTTTTTGAGGTATGAAATGACACTGTAACTTAGTCCATATTCCATACTGTCTGCTATGAGGTTAGGTGCTCCCATCATTCTAACAGCTTTCCTCAGAGGCTATAGGCAAAAAAACAACAACCATCACTTGTCAGAAATTTATGGCTAGATGTATTATGTCAGTTTTGAACATTTTTGCCCCCCAAATTTCTCCTTTTCTTCAATAAGAAAGTAACAACATATTTGTATTTCAGTAAAATGTTTGTGTTGTACGAAAGGCAGTTTGAAATACTAGTAAAAAGGGATTACACTCAGGGTGAGAAAAGGTGAAGTCTTGAACTTTTTATTATCCCTGGAGATAGTAAATTTAAAGGAAATAGCAGGAGACACTGCAGAGGTAGATTTGGTAGAACTTGGGTAGTAGCTGAAAAGGAGTAAAAGGAAATAGAAGATTCCTACTTTGGGTAACTGTGTGGGTGTGACTCAACCACTCACTAGCTTTGTAACACTATATCAGGTTATATAACCTCTCTATGTCTTAGTTTCTCATTTATAAATGACAATAATAGTATCTACTTCACATGGTTGTCATGGTTTTAAATGAATCAATACAAGTAAAGCACTTATAAAAGCAACTGGCACACAGTAAGCATTCAGTAGGTGTTAATGATTATGACCATTATCATTAGCTGGGCTGAAAAAAACCAAAACAGAAAGAAGCTCTGAAGGAAAAATGAGGAGGAAAAAAAGTCTAATATTTATTATGGATGTGATATAGTGAAATAATATTTAATTGCAATGAGAGACCAATTGAAACCACTTTGTACAATGAAAAATATCACTAGCAGGAGCGTCTAGCATATTTAAATGGAATACAGACAGAAAAAGGGTGATAATTCATTGACATATTAGAAAGTGTAAAACTAGAATCAAATCCCAGCTCTGATATTTAATATCCATGTAGCTTTGGCTAAATCCTCAGGTTGCTATGAAATGTAAATGAGTCAACATATGTAACATTTGATATTCAAAGTGTTTCTTCCTTTCACTCTCTTACATGGCAGGCATTATGTGCTAGACTCTCATAAACTTATCACTTAAAACCATAAAATGTGACTTTTAAAGTTCAAGAAATTAATGTTCTTATGAGGAACCATTTACAAAGATCAGTTATAGTCAAATGCTATAATATTCCTGAATTAAAAGCAGAAGTAATGTCTAAAAAAGTTACTTTTCATAAAATAAAGTACACTTAATAATATACACATTATTGGTCTTATCTCTATGATAAACTAGGTTTTAAGTAATTAGAAAATTATGGTTCTAAAAATATATGGTTCTATGAGAATATACACGTATCTTAACCTAAAAACATATTTCTGAAGATTCAGGAACTAATGAAACAAAAATAATTTTATACCCTTAGAGAGAAATAATTCTGAAATGGCAATTAAAAAATACAGTACAACAATTGAGATTAAAAACCTAAATTCTAAAGCCAGACTGCCTGGGACTGAATTCCAGTGCCCCATATATTTGCAATGTAGCCTTAGACAACTTAATATTTTAGTGCTTTAGTTTCCTCATCTGTGAAACAGGAACAATGATCATTCCTACCTCAGAGGGTTACCATATAAATTAAATAAGATTAATACATGTAAAGTACTTAGGACAGTACCAGGCGCAGGGTAAGCATTGTATATATTCATGATCATCATCATTATCATTTTGCAAGTCATGAAACATTTCTTTCCCACAATATCTATATTGGTTATTTGTACACACAATTTTCATGACATTTAATCTAAACAGCATTAAATAGAAGTTTGTAATGCAATAAAGTATAAGCATAATATAAAACTTTATAACAACTTCTATTTTTAACAATAATATTCTTACCCCAAGATAGTAGGGAGGCATTGTCTTCAAATAACTTTCAAATGACTGTCTCCATTTCAATGTTGGTTTTGCTTTATGTACTTTAAACAAGTCATCTATAAATGTACAATGTAAACAAACTATTATTACTCATTGTTCTCACAGATGAAAATCAGGTCAGATTAGTCTGTTTTCTTATTTGTAAGAGGAAGAGTAACATGAGATATAAGCTTTTAATAAAATAAAAGTAGTAAAATTTTTGGTTCTGGAATTTTCAATTAGTAATACCATTTTTAAAAAAAAGCCAATAATTGTATAGAATTACATCAAGGTGGAATCAGGAAACACACAAGGAAAAACTGTACCCTATATAGACCTAGACATGAAACAGATTTGAGAAAAGAAACAAGTATGCAAAGTGTTTTCTATAAAATATACCTACTAATATTTTGACTACAAAATTTGAAGTGATTTCATAAAGGAAAATTAGTCTTCTCCAATAGTACTCTTCAAAAATTATAGACAAATGGTCCCCATAAACTAACTTTAGGCTTTTATCATATTACTAGAGGCCCGGTGCATGAAATTCATGTGGGGGTGGGGGGGTGAGGGGGTGGGTGAGGGCAGGGTCCCCTCAGCCCAGCCTGCACCCTCTCCAATCTAGGACCCCTCAGGGAATGTCCAACTGCCGGTTTAGGCCCGATCCTCCCTCTCACAATCTGGGACTGCTGGCTCCTAACTGCTCACCTGCCTGCCTGCCTGATTGCCCCTAACCCCTCTGCCTGCCTACCTGATCGCCCCTAACTTCCCTCCCCTGCTGGCCTGATTGCCCCTAACTGCCTCTGCCTCGGCCCCCGCCACCGTGGCTTTGTCTGGAAGGAAGGCAGGATGACCAGAAGATGTCCAGTTGACCCAGTTTAATTAGCATATTACCCTTTTATTAGTATAGATTTTGGAACAGGTTAATTCTTTTTTAAAAATAAAAATATCTGCCAAGTGAAATTAAGATAAATTCTTACAAGAAAATACACTCAGATTTTATGACTATGCTTCACAAAATGTCTTATTTACCAAATACAAAGCCTACGTTACTAATTCCATGTAAGAAATCTAACTTAAATTTAATCTAACTTAATGAATTAGAATATTTGATTTTTTTTAATCCTCACCTGAGGACATGTTTATTGATTTTAGAGAGAGACACATCGATCAGTTGCCTCTTATATGAGTCCCAGCCGGGCATCAAACACTAAAACCTGGGTATGTGTCTTGACCGGGAATCAAACCCAGAACCTTTTGGTCTACAGGACAAGGCTCCAACCAACTGAGCCACCTGGCCAGGGCTAGAATATTTAATTAAAAAATTTAAAATATACTACCTTCATAAATTGTTGACTCAAAGGTGATTTGACACTGCCTTTCAATTTGCCACAAACATGTAATAAAACGACCTTTGACAGGTTTAAAATTTTAAAGACATTTTCATTAATTTTTAGCAGATAAAAGACTCACAAAAAACGTTCCCAAAGTTTATTTTTAGGAAATATGTATGTATGTATGCTAAGCCACAGAGAATGTGACAAGAATGACTTACCTAAAAGGGGAAGGAGGACTGGGTAATTGTAAGGCATCACAAATAAGTTGACACAATTCAGTGCTGTACTGGCTTTCAAGTAACCAAAGGGATGACCAAGTTCACTATATTTTGCACTATTGCTCACATATACCTGTTAAAAAGGAGTGGTTAAAACTTATTATTATTATTTTTAATATATTTTATTGAGTTTTTTTACAGTGAGGAGGAGAGAGGGATAGAGAGTTAGAAACATCGATGAGAGAAAAACATCGATCAGCTGCCTTCTGCACACCCCCTACTGGGGATGTGCCTACAATCAAGGTACATGCTCTTTACCGGAACTGAACCTGGGACCCTTCAGTCTGCAGGCCGACGCTCTATCCACTGAGCCAAACTGGTTAGGGCAAAACTTATTATTTTTTAATCCTCATCTGAAGATATGTTTTTACTGAGTTTGAGAGGAAGGGAGAGGTAAAGGGAGAGGTAGAGAGAGAGAGAGGGAGGGAGGGAGGGAGAGAGGGAGGAACGTGAGAGAGAGAGACAGGGAGAGAGAGAGAGACACACATCAATTCACTGCCTCCCTGATGTGCCTGGATTGGGACTGAACCCGAAACCTGTGTATGTGCCCTGACCAGAAATCAAACTCACAACCTTTTGGTGATGACTTTTCCAACCAAATGAGCCACACTGGCCAGGGCAAAACTTCGTATTTTTATGAAGGTTAAAACCTTTACAGAATGTTATATAAACTATTGATTTTATTTAACTTTTTAGGAAACATTTAACTTAAATAATTGTTCAGCTCACCTGCCAACATGTTTGAGGAGATTTCCTTTCCAGGATAAATTGAGTCAGTGGTGAAGGTTCCAACTCGTATTTGTCAAAAGGCAATTTGTCAATAACCATTGGTTCACAGTCTGTACAGGAAAACTTCACTACAGGATGAGATGTACGAGGTGGCTAGAGGGGAAAATCTGATTACTATTTACACAAAATACCAGAAACAAACTCACTTTCAGTCTCCCTCATTACCAAAATTTACTTAGTTTCTAAGTTTTGCTAGTCAGAGTTTGATTTACTACAGAAAGCATCATTAGCTGAAAGAAAATACTTGAAAATGCAAAGCTTAAATTATATAATATTCAGAAGAAAAACACAAAACACTTCAAAATCTATATAAAATGGAAATCTTTTTAGGTTTACAATGTAAAATTTTAGACTAAGCACTCATTGAGTTTTATATCCAAGAAACAAGAAACATATAGAAACCTTCAATTTTAAGTCCTCACTTGTAGAAATTTAATTACTTGTATAGAGTAGTGGTTTCCAAACTGATCATACACCTCCAAATTTTTGAATACACAATTAAGTTAGGACATTATATATATTTATTTTATAATTATTTATAAATTATTAAGCATGTATATATGTATAGGTACACAATAAAAGTTTTAATGTTATTCCTTCCCTATTGTGGTAGACTGTTTTGGTTATCCCTGTGGTTTATACACCTTACTTCTAGAGATACAATACTTCAAAGGAAAAAAAGGGTGGGAGCATGTTACTCTATTTTCTCCTTAATAGTTTCCTTCTTAAAAATCTCATTGGTCTTTTTTGAGGGTCACACTGAGCTCCAACCAGCTTTAGGGGCATCTTTACAAGTCAGCAACATTGCAGAAGACATCAAGGCCAAAATCAAGATCTACCAGCCTGCCCTCTGAGAGTCACTTCCTCAGCCAGAACTGGAAAGGGAGCTGCTGGCCACCTGGGGGGATATGTCTCCGTATATGAAAGTTACTGGTGAATGTACAAGTACCCCTGTCCCATATCCTGGGTGTCAGCCTAGGACACAACCACCAGGCAAAAGTCATGATTCCTGAGAAGATCTGAACTGGCCCCACACATCTCTCTGTCCTTCATCCTTCTCCCCGGGTGGCGAAGGAAGCCCTGGGTACATGCTGATTCCCATCCTGGGACCTTGAATCATGACTTAACTAATAATAATTGTTGGAAAATGGAAAATAAAATCTCACCAAATGAAGATCGGTGAAGAAAATATGAGCTATGAAGATATAATTTAAAATTTCATAGCTATAAAGGATTCTCAGCCTCGGTTACTATGTGTACATTGGTGGCTCCCAAATCTGTGTTGGGACCAGATCCCTCTCATTTCTCTTATGTATTCAACAGCCTGCTAGACATAAAATAAATCTCCTATAGGTCCCTCAGATATATTATAATCCAATTTGTTATTTCTCCTCCACACCACAAAATCTATTCTAAAAACCTAGATATTATCCTTAATATCTTCTATTTATCCTCCATATTTAACTGTCACAAAGATCTAGATAAAGATTCCATAAATTCCAAGCCACTTAGCAGAATACAAACATGGCAGGTGCTCAGTATTTAGTTACTACCCTCAGTCAGTACTAAATTCCCATCTCTCTAGAAATTTATCTTCTATTTCTTATCACTCTAATTCATGCCTTCATTTCTCAGACTAGACTTGTATAACTGCTTATTTTTAACTAGTTTCCCTAATTATTCAGCACCCTCTAAGGCCATGAAATATGATCATGTAATTATCCTACCTGAAAATATTTGATAAAAGTAATAGCCAATCACCTGAAAATAGGGTCCAGACTCTTATCAAACACAAAGATCCTTAATGATCTGGTCCCCATCTGCCTTTCAACCACCACACTGTGTACACTCTGTGCTCCTGCCATGCCAAACTATTTGCAACTGCTCAAATAGATCATCTTTCACGTTCCTGTATTTCACATGTTATCCTTGACTGCTTTATTATTTTCTCCCTTGTATATTGCAAATAAAGTTTTGAAGTCTGAACTGGCAAGTATCAACCACTAAAAGACTTCTTTCCTTATACTCATCCCCACCCTGTATCCTAAACACATACCAGGCAATTGGCACCACCTCCTCTGGGTTCTGGTCTGCCCCCCTATTACAGGTAACACACTGTACTCTACTATGTTTATATATCTGACCTTCCTATAAAATGGTTAGGTCAACAGGGCGAGCACTACGTTTTATTCATCTCATGCTCCTGTGCCTAAGTTGCACCTAACACATTGCTTATTGCATCAGTCCATGAAACTCACTTGTTTTTTGGATGAAAATATTGAGGTCAAGAGAAAAAGAGAGGCAGAGGGAATCCTCTAGAATTTGGCAAACAAATTTTGCATTATTTCAGTTAATCCCCCAAACAAGCCTATGAGATAGGAGCTACTATAATTATTTAACAGATAGGAAATTAAGGTTTCGCTAATAACTGGTAGAGCCATGATTCAAATTCAGAATCAGTCTCTAATAAATCACACTTATTTTCAGTATCAATACTTTTTATTTGAAATAAAAATTTATTTCCCCTCTAATATCCTTTAGTCACTAAATTTTGCCAGTTCTTCCCATTATCATCTTTCTTATGATTCTTTCTTCTATCATCTTAATCCAAACTCTTAATATCTCTTATGTGAACTATTGCAATTGCCCAATAGGAAACCTGACTACCTTCCAACACATCTACTTTTGCTGCAAATAACAACCACCAGATCAATTTTCCTAAAGCACTCTAAAAAATGTCATCAGTTATCCTTTCAGTCCCACTGAAAAAGGCTTAAATTCCTTAACCCTGCACTTAAAGTCATGAACAATTTGGCTCATTTAATAGTACTCTCAATGTACTCTCAATATGTGTTTTGACCCATGTTACTCAGGAATACACTTGTTTTTCCTCTAAATACACCTTGATCTATTTACTTCCATACTTTTTTCTCATACTATTTTCTCTCCCCACTGAAATCCTATCCACACTTCAAATTCCTCTATGGCTTGTAATAATTTGCAATAGACAACTACAGTAATGTTAATAGATATTGCTTGTGATCCAGATTTTGAATTTCTATTAGGCCTCAACAAAGTACCATTTGTACTACTGTAGGTATTAAATAAAGACTACAGACTGAATAACCAACGAGACAATATTTCATACAAATATGTTATCTGTTCTATAAGAGTTGAAAGAGCTCCAGAAGAGAAAGTAAAATGAACAAAGAAATTGAGAATTTCTCTATAAGGCCAGACTGGAAAAACTATGATGGTTCAATCAGAAAAAAAGAAAAGGAATAAAGAAGATACCTCACTGAAATTTATAAAACCTTAATTTCATTAAACCCCAAATGAATAAAAGAAATATCACTTTATAGAGCTTGTGTAGATTAAAAGTAAATATTATCCTGAAGAGTTGATATAGGTTTAAAGTATAAATGGTGTCAAATCGGATTCAGTTTAACTCATAAATGATAGCTATATGAAACATTCAAGACTGCTTAATGGTATCTGAAATATAATTCTTATCTTTAAAGTAATAAAAATATAATTCTTCTAAGAGTAATATGCCATGCTCTCCCACAAAATAGCCATGATGCCCTCAAATACTAGAAAAATATACTATATAATATACTATGTAATGCGAAAGAAAATATATTAACAAGATTAGATTGTTTTGTATAAATTTACCTTATTAGAAAAACCATATTGTGAACACTGATAATTCATATATATCATTCAATAAGCCCCACTGTTTCTTTTGTTGTTTTCTTATTCCTCATTAGAGGATATTTTTCCTTTGTTTTTTTTTAGAAAGGATGGAAGAGAGAGGGAAAGACAGAGAGAAATATTGATGTGAGAGAAACACATTGATTAGTTGCCTCCTGTACGAGCCTGGACCAGGGCCCAGGCCAGGGAGGAGCCTGCAATAGAGGTGTGTGTTCTTGACCGGAATTGAACCCTAGACCCTTCAGTCTGCAGGCTGACACTCTATCCACTTAGCCACACTGGCTATGGCAAGCCTCATTGTTTCTAAAAAATAATTCATGTAGCCCAGCTCGTTTGGCTCAGTGGTAGAATGTCAACCTATGAAACAGGAGGTCACAGTTCGATCCCAGGTGCAGAAAGGCAGCCAATCAATAATTATCTCTCATCATTAATGTTTCTTTCTCTCTCTCTCTCCATCTCCCTTCCTCTTTGAAATCAATAAAAATATATTTTAAATAATAATAATCCTATCTAATAAAAGAGAAACATGGTAATTGGCGTACAACTGCTACCCTTCCCATTGGCTAATCAGCGAGATATGCAAATTAACTGTCAGCCAAGATGGCAGCAGGCAGCCAGGCAGCTTGAAACTAACATGAGGCTTGCTTGCTTCAGTGACTGAGGACTCCAACATTCCCCGCCTGCCGCTGCAGGCCTCTGAGCTGGCAGTTTCAAACATTGTAACAAATATAGACACTAAACAAAACCCCAGAAACCAGCTTTCAGCCAGCTCGGATCTCAGAGCTGGAGCTGATACAGAGTTTCGATTATAGAACCGAAACAAACCAGATACCTGCTTTCAGGAGCAGAGGCCTAAGCGCTGGAGCCTCAGAGCTAAAGCTGGCCCAGAATAAAAAATAAGAAAAGAAAAAAAGGAGCGGTTGGGAGCTTTAGTCCCAGCCTGAAAACAGCCCTCAGCCCCTCACCCAGACTGGCCAGGCACCCCAGTGGGGACCCCCACCCTGAAGGGTGTGTGACCAGCTGCAAACAGCCATCATCCCCTCATCCAGGCTGGCCAGGCACCCCAGTGGGGACCCCCACCCTGATCCAGGACACCCTTCAGGGCAAACCAGCCAGCCCCCACCCATGCACCAGGCCTCTATTCTATATAGTAAAAGGGTAATATGCCTCCCAGCACTGGGATCAGCGGAGCTGAGAGGCCTCCCGGCACTGGGATCAGTGTGACAGGGGGCAGCGCCCAAACCCCCTGATCGCCCTGCAGCTCTGTGTGTGACAGGGGGCGGGGCCACAACCTCCCTATCCACCCTGCTCTGTTCATGACAGGGGAAGGCGCCCCAACCCCTTTATCAGCCCTGCTCTGTGCCTGATATGGGGGAGCTCCCCAACCCCCTGATCGCCCTGTGGCTCTGTGTGTGACAGGGGCGGGGCCACAACCTCCCTATCGGGGCCCTGCTCTGTGCCTGATAGGGGGGAGCTCCCCAACCCCCTGATCGACTCTGCTCTGTGCGTGACAGGGGGGAGCTCCCCAACCCCGATGGGCCCTGCTCTGTGTGTGACAGGAGAGAGCTCCCCAACCCCCTGATTGACCCTGATGTGTGCGTGACAGGGGGAGCTCCCCAACCCCCTGATCGGCCCTGCTCTATGCGTGACGGGGGCAACACTCCAACCCCTGATTGGCCCTGCTCTGTGCATGACAGGGGATGGCGCCGCAACCTCCCCATCGACCCTGCCTTGAGTGTGACAGGGGGCGGTGCCCCAACCCCCCTATCAGCCCTACCCTGAGCGTGACTGAGGGTGGCATCGCAACCTCCCAATCCGCCCTGCTCTGTGCATGACAGGGGGCGGCGCCCCAACTCCCCAATCGGCCCTGCTCTGAGCCCAACCAGGGGCTGCACCTAGGGATTAGGCCTGCCCTCTGCCACCCAGGAGCAGGCCTAAGCCAGCAGGTCGTTATCTCTCAACGGGTCCCAGACTGCGAGAGGGCACAGGCCAGGCTGAGGGACACCCCCCCCCTACCCCCCTGAGTGCACAAATTTTTGTGCACCAGGCCTCTAGTAATTCATATAAACAAGACCAGAAAATCTTTCTACCTTAAATCTCTAGATTGACAACACTGAATATAACTAAAACCATGCAAGTCAACTCCTAAGAGATTGAAAGCAAACTATCAAAATTATTGTGGAAGCCTTCACTTAAGTTCCAAATTATGTCTCCAAGACAAATCTTTATGTTACATTATGTTTAGAGTCCAAAGAGAAACTCCTTATATTTATGATTCTGTACCCAGATGCTAAATAATAAAAACATAAGCATAGTATTAGATTCTAAAGAAAACAGATGACTTTTTTCCCATTTCTACATAACAATACAGTATATTAAAGCAACTAATAGCTTATCATAGCACTCTGAACATCTTTCTGATTCCTGTAAACTAGCCACACATTTAACTGATAATAGTAAAACTAGTATGAAAAACAACTAAATGGCTACTATTACAAAGTCACAGTTTCTCTGGTACTTACTAATGTTGGAGAATTCTGATCTGGCCAAAAAGACTCTGGAACAGGCCAATGACCTATAGGAACCCCAGTTTTGGGATTTGGCCTGACATATATGAGTTTGTGACAGCTATGCCAAGGCTGAGATCCAAAAGGCCTTGATATATCTGGCTGCCCATCTATAGCAAAGAAATTGACACAAAAAAAGCATATATCATTAAGGGGGAAAATATCAAAAAGTTCAATTATATCTCTTATTACTTAATAAAAATGTCCCAATACTTGTTCAATTCTGAATTGGCCTAGTTTTCTTAAATGGTACAATACTATCACAACTGCTTAACATTTATATGAGATTAAAATTTATTAGAGAGTAAAGTCTGCAAATGCCAACTATGAGTTCAGCAGTTGAAAGGAGGGCTCACAGTATCATTTGCTTGCCCAATCAGAATATGTAAAACATACTTCATGGTAAATAGTTATTTAATGAATGATATGTTTCCCCATCAGATGATAAAGGCAAACACTCAATATCTTCATCATTGTGGTTGACTTAGGAAATACTAGGTAAGTATTGCTAAAAAAGTAATCATTTTAACTAAAGCCTAATAACTAAAGAAAAACTTAATATGCAAATCCAGATTTGAAATACCTACCTTTTTTTTAAAAAAAATAATTTTTATTTCTTGAAGTATTACAAAGAGTATTACATATGTCTCCTTTTTCCCCCCCCTTGACATTCCCCCAGCCTCCCCTACCCCCTAGTGTCTTGTGTCCATTGGTTATACTTACATGCATGCATATAAGTCCTTTGGTTGATCTCTTAACCGCCCCCCGCCCCCCCAAACCCTCCCCAGGCTTCCCACTGTAGTTTGACAGTCTGTTCAATGCTGCTCTGCCTCTGCATCTACCCCTGTTCATCAGTCTATACTGGTCCCCATTATCTGTCCTAACCTCACTGGAGCCGTCCCAACCTCACCGGGGCCGTTTTGTCCTCACCAGGGCCGTCTTGACCTCACCGGGGCCGTCCTGACCTCACTAGGGTCATCCCTACCTCACCGGGGCCGTTTCAATACCTACTTTTAATCTGAAATAATTCTACCAAAATAGCAACCCTCTTCAACTAAACATTTATTTAGTGCCTAACTTTAAGCCAAGTACTAAAATATAAAAATAAATACATTCCATGCCTAACAATTCAATTAAAAATTTAAAAAACAGAAACAATGATACAATTTATATAATCTTAACTGTCTTCTGCTCCTTTCCTATAATCCCCCCCTGAGGATACCCATTTTTTCATCTCTATGACCTTTCTCTTCTCCCACTCTGTGGATCACCTCTGCCAAGTGTCGTTAATGACTTTCTAATTCTTGTTATAAGCTCCATTGTATAATGCAAAGGGTCCAGATGTAATAGCTGCCCATTGGTTCTAAGGTAATTCCTTATACCTTTTAATATAAATAGTTCATGATCATAGAACATTGGAATAAAGCTAGGTGGAGCTTAGCTGGAGTTAAATAATCCAGTTTAATGGTACAGGCTGGTTCCTCGTGTTTGGAACCACATAAATCATTTGGTTCTGGCCAGTCTGATCCTTAGAAAAAATAGTGCTAAGGAATTAAACAAACACCTAGAGTTCGCTCTTGTGAATAAGGGACATGGGAGAAGCATGTATACAGGAGAGAGACAACATTATAATACTAACAAGGAATATGAGGTTGCTTAAAAAGGTCTATGGCTCTTATTTTTCAATTGTAGATGAATAATTGATACAGCAAGTTTAGAATGTCTATAAGAAAAGTGTGATAATACCTTCTACAGGGGAAGGATCTGGTCCTGCTTTTTCAAAGTTTATTACCACTCCACTTTGCACTTTCTGCACCAAGGACTCCAGACACTGATTAAGCATTCTTGGAGAACATACAGAGTAAGAGCGACCTGTGATTTTAAAAAAAAAGTAAAATAAAGTGAACTAGTCAGTTGTAGTTGTAGAAAATCCTACCTTTAGTAAGAAAGAATAATAGTGGATTTTCTGACAGTATATTGGTTAACAAAAGTTCAATGGTAAAGCTTGACTTATTTCATTATCTTCTGCAAGAACGAACAAAATAGAAATTTTCAATAAACCAACAATGCCATGTCGTGAGAGTCTATAAATTTTTTCCTTCCAATAATGGGTACATGGAAAATAGAAATCTTATTCTGAACAAACCACAATAAAAATGTCATATTTTACTTAGATATGATATAAAGTGTGATTTCAAAAATATAGACATAAAAAACTATCTCCAACTGTTACCCAATACAATTAATTTATCTTTACTATACTAGTACATACACAACATCTAGGATCTAGCTCCCCCAAAACCTTACTCCTGCTTAACAAGTATTATCAATAAAATTAATGCTAAGCACATAGGAGATCACGTATTTAATTGATCTGCTGACAGTTATTGCTTATTTTAAATATTTTCATTTTAATATACAGATGATAGCATGTGCTTTTCTAAATTTCATTTGGCTTATATGCTTGAAAATTACCTATCTTAAATAAACTTCCCTTTTGAATATTTTAAATCTACAGGATTTTTAGTCCAGAAGCATTGAAATGCTAGTAATTAATAAGAAAATACTAATAAAAGGATCCCTTAAACAGAAATTTTCAATATATCTAGACCTGTGCTATCCCATATGTGGTCACTGGCCACACATGGCTATTAAAAACTAAAAATATGGCTAGTCCAAATTGAGATGTACATTAAGTTTAAAATATACACCTGATTTTGTAGTCTTCATATGAAAATTACATAAAATGTCTCAACAATTTTAAATATAGATTTTACGTGAAAATAATATTTTATATATATTAAGATATTAAAATTAATTTCACCTTTTTCTCTTTAATGTGACTACTATAAAATTTGTAATTAGATCTTTAACTTGAACCATACTTCTATTATATGTGTTAAAACAGACCAATACTGAAAAGCTTAACAACTAAAATAATCTTTAAACATCTTACAACATAATTTGCAAAGAGATATGGAATTTTACAAATTCAACAATTCAATCAAACATGACTATATCATTGTATCTGACATACCAAATTACCCATATCAATTTATATTTAACATGTGGTTTGCTAAAGGCTATTCAGAAAAGAGAACATTACGCAGCAGTGTGATTCAAATCCTCAGAGTCAGCTTTACTTAGAAAGCAAGTATCATATAACAAGTAACTTATCATTGTATGATAATGATAGCTGAAATCATAAAAATACCTACCAATTACAGAGTGTCTATGTGCCTGGCACCATTCTAATCATCATATTAATTTATTTAATCCTAAGTAACAATGGTTGGGCTACTTTCTCCCAATAAGAAATAAGAAAACTAAAAGCACGAAGAGGTTAACTAATTTATCCAAGTTAGTACACTAGTACAGCTAAGATTCAAATCCTTAGAGTATTAGAAACTTTAATCTGGGTATACTTTGTTCCCCGGAAATTATGATGTTAATTGGAAATCAATATTGTTTTAAATGTCTATATGGAGTCATACTTAATTGAAAGAATTAGTAAATTATTTTTTCTCAGGCAATTTAAAAATGTACATAAAACAATACATTAAAAGGCTGACCATCTTGCCCTAACTGGTTTGACTCAGTGGACAGAGCGTCAGCCTGCGGACTCAAGGGTCCCAGGTTCGATTCTGGTCAAGTGCATGTACCTTGGTTGCGGGCACATCCCCAGTGGGGAGTGTGTAGGAGGCAGCTGATCAATGTTTCTCTCTCATCGATGTTTCTAGCTTTCTATCCCTCTCCCTTCCTCTCTGTGAAAAATCAAAAAAAAAAAAAAAAAAAAAAAAAAAGGCTGACCATCTTAACACACAAAGTATATAGAAGACTATATAAAGGTTGAATATCTTGTTTCATGAAACTTAAGCATATTCCTAAGATGTCATTAAAAAACAAAAGTTTTTAAGTGTGAAATTGTGGGAATTCTCTCTACTCCCCTAACCTGTGTCATCAATTAACTGATTAGGAAAATGTAAGTAAATGAGTTATGATCTTAGTATGAAATAAAATTACTAACAAAGATGTTTAACAAAAATTAGAGAAAAAGTAAATATGAGTGTGAATAAACTTGAGTCACTTGGCAAATAACAAAAATCCATTATTTTTTTTTTTAAAGTTAAAGAGAAATTTTGCCATTTTTACAAAGTGAGCCTATATCCTACAGAATGTTTCTCCTATTTTCTATGTAAAAACTCACCCCTTGGAATGTAAGATACTTTGAAGCATAAAGTTTCTAGGATCACTCGTTACATTTGTGCAGAAAACACACACCTTCAAGCCAAAAAGCTGGCTCACTTGTGGTTATGTAGAATCCACCAAAATTAAAATAAAAATCTCAATACAGGAGCCTGAAGACAGTAAGTGAAAAAAAAACTACAACTTTCCCACAGAAGTCTACTAGACAGCATTTTAGTATAACAGAGAAACAAAAGAAACATTTCTAAGTTGGGCAACAGTCCTTAACAGAGGCTAAGTTAAACTGATTTACTCTAGAAAATTGTCTTACAATTTTTATGAAATGCTTTTGATTCTTGATACTTCCACTGACATATCTATTAGGCATTTTTTTATTTGAAATCATCCCCCTGCCTCCCCGACACCTGATTTTCCCCAGTGTACCCATACAAGTCCATTCACTTGCCCCTGTTCAGGCCAAAATGGATAATTTAGGAATCATCCTTGATTCCTTCTTCCCTCATTGTCCTTATCCTTGGTTCTCCTTTGCATCAGATCTCCTTACCACCTCCAAACCTAGCAATTTAAACCAAAGTACAGTCATCTCTTACTAGCCCATGCTTCAATTCTTGCCACTTTACAGTATATTTTCATCTAGGAACTGAAGTGATCTTTCAGAAATAGAAATCAGATGTCACCTCTTATAAAAAGCCCTGTAATGGCTTCTCATTGCAGTAGGAAAATAGAAAATATTTATTATGACCTAAAAGGATATTCAATATTTGGTCCTTGCTACGTCTCTACACCTGTTACTCTCTATTTCTTACCATGTAAGCCCTAGTCACATCATCTTTCCTGTTGCTTCGAAAATACAGAGCATGCACCTTCCCTTACTATTTCTTCTGCCTAGATCTTTCTTTACCTCATTATTCAAATCTCTACTCGTATGTTACACTTGTGATCATTTCTCAACATATACAAATATTAACTCACGTTGTACAACAGAAATAACATAATGTTGTATGTCAATTACACCTTAATTGAAAAAAAAGAGGGTGGATGAACATGCTGTAACAATAGTTTTAGCCAGATTAATATTTTTAAGACACACCAAGGCTGATTTAATTTCTATTCAAACAAGTGACATTAACTTCAAGGTTAGAAATATGCAAATGTAATTTATTTTTAAAACTGTTGTTTTATTTACTTCTTTACACAAGATAACAATCTAAAAGGATAAACAATATTTCAAACTGATTCAAACAGGAGTAAGCATACACTTTAGGTATATGGTTTAAAAAAAGTGGGGCACCTCCTCAGATTTCCCAAGAATATTCACTGTCTTTCTCAAGTTATTCTCTAAACTCTTACCCTATTTTTTTCTTCACAATAAGTAGCACTCCCTACAATAATATTTATTCATTTTACACGCTTTCATGTCAGTCCCAAAATGTAAGCTTTCTGACTATTGTTCCTGCTGTATTCCCAGCATCAAGAATAGTTATTTGGCCCTAGCTGATTTGGCTCAGTGGATAGAGCATCGGTCTGCAGACTGAAAGGTCCCAGGTTTGATTCCAGACAAGGGCACGTGCCCAGGTTGCTGGCTTGATCCCCAGTAGGAGGCGTGCAGGAGGCAGCCAATCAATGATTTTTCTCTCATCATTAATGTTTTTATCTCTCCTCTCCTTTCCTCTCTGAAATCTATATCTATATATCTATATATCTACATAGATATATATATAAAAAAATCAATCAATAAGTGCATTGGAACAAATCGATGTCTCTCTCTCCCTCTGTCTCTCTAAAATCAATAAACAAAAAAATTTTTTTAGGTAATTTTTATTTATTTTTTATTTTTTTATTAAGTTATTACATATGTGTCCTTATCCCCACATTACCCCCTATCCCCCTTACTCATGCCCTCACCCCCCTGTTGTCTGTGTCCATTGGTTAGGCCTATAATCTTGCATATAAGTCCTTTGGTTGATCTCTCCCCCTTACCACCACTCCTCCCTACCCTCCCTCTGAGGTTTGACGGTCTCATCGATGCTTCTCTGTCTCTGATCTGTTTTTGTTCATCAGTTTATGTTGTTCTCTATATTCCACAAATGAGTGAGATCATGTGGTATTTATCTTTCTCTGACTGGCTTATTTCACTTAGCATAACGCTCTCCAGTTCCACCCATGCTGTTGCAAATGGTAAGAAATCCTCCTTTTTTACCACAGCGTAGTATTCCATTGTGTAGATGTACCACAGTTTTTTAATCCACTCATCTATTGATGGGCACTTAGGCTGTTTCCAAATCTTAGCTATGGTGAATTATGCTGCTATGAACATAGGGGTGCATATATCCTTTCTAATTGGTGTTTCTAGTTTCTTGAGAATAGTTATTTGGCATAGAGTGGGTGCTCATTAATTACGTGGTAAAGAAAAACGCTTACAATGACAATTATAATTTTTTTAAAAAAGCAAACATAAAAAATATAACAAAATATTAATCATTATTTTGGCAACACAGGCAAATTTCTTTCCAATTTTTTCCTCAGTGAACATGAATTATTCTACAATGGGAAAAATAAATGTATACACGCTACTCATACCATTAAGTCTTTAAAAATGCACAAGAAAAAGTGCACAAGAATTAGTATTGATTACATATTACATAGTGTGATACCAATGAATATTAGCTTTTCTGTTCTTTCTATCTTTCTGATATTTTAATCCTCAAAACTTTCTTTAGTGAACAATAAATAAGAAAACATATTGAGATACTAGAGACCTGGTGCACAGATTTGTGCACCGGTGGGGTCCCTCAGCCTGGCCTGCACCCTCTTGCAATCTGGGACCCCTTGGCTTTTGCCAGACTGCCGGTTTTGGCCCAATTTGGGGGGCTGAGCCAAAATTGGCAGTCTGACATCCCTTGAGAGATATAGTAGTGCACAAAGTGGCAGGCAGCCGGGGAGGAGCCCGAACCAGGCACCGTGCTGCTCCCGCTCATCCTGGCCCTGCTGAGCCTGCCGCCGCCGCTGCACTGACCACCAGGGGGCAGCTCCTGCATTGAGCATCTGCCTCCTGGTGGTCAGTGCGTGTCATAGCGACCAGTTGAACGGTTGACCGGTTGCTTATGTTTTTATATACATAGATATGAAAAGCATTTGAGCCACTTCCCACTATTGCTAACAAGAGCATGAAAAGAGGGAAATAAAATAGTACTTCAGGATGTATATTTGGGAAAAGCTTCCTAATTTCTTAACCAACTAAGGTTTCTGGGTCATTAAGAGGTATTACCAAGGGTGACTTCGGAATCTTCTCCTCTGGAGATGTTCCTTTCAAAGAATAAACAACATAACTTTAGTATATTACTGCCCAAAGGCAAGGACATTAACTACTACATGAGGTCTTAGGTTCTTTTCAGGCCCTTTCTGATTATACCACTCACTTCATTTCACACTCTGAATATTCTTGATGCTAGAAGTCCCATAACTTTACCATAATTCAAAGTTCAAACTAAGTAATTTATAGTAAGGAATTTCCAAAGTGAGAATGTTTAAATTACAGCCTCAATGCCCTTCTTCAATCTGTTAAGTAAAAAACCTAGAGTTAAAAAAAAAAATCAAATCAGGATTTTTAGCAAGGCTGAAAACTAATATTTCCTGAATACAAATGTGCATCTACCCACAGAAACAATTAGGGCTGTCAATGAAAAATATTATTCATGCACAGAGAATTGTTAACAGTGATTCTTCAAATTTAGATGACAGATAGGTTTCCCTTTAAATTGTGTACACACATCTTTTTTTCTTTTGTAAATTAAATTATACGAGAGTTCATGAAAAAGTACTTCTATTAAATGAGAACATTTAATAATAGAATAACAATTTTCTAACCAATCTACTTCACATACCCTTTTTGTCTGTGAATTTTGCAGATGTCCAACACCCGTGGAATTTTAGAAGGCACCTAAAGTATCAATTAGACCTTATAATTTTCTTTAACTTATTATATAGCTGTCTATGAAGGAATCTCAATAAAGTACCACCAACTGTGTCTAGAGACTATGCCACAGGTCCCTGACACAGGTGAAAGAGTGGCATGCCAGACTTGGACATTTTACTGTTAAATTCCTTCAATAAGAATTAAAATGCTCTGTGAAAGCAAGACTGCTATGTCTGTCATATTCACTACTGAAGTCATAGAACAGTGCTTGGTACACACTAGGTACTCAATACATACCTATATGAATTAATCCATCTGTTAGCCAATTCCACAATAAAGAAGTCCTGAGTCTATTACATATTCTGTTTCAAGAGTTTTATTAATGTTAACTTAGCATATTGACTACCTGGACTAACTGGGTATGACCTTACTACCTGTGTTTCCTCTAACACATCTAGCTTCCTCTTTGCCTCTGGGGAAAACTGCATTTAACCAGGCTTTAATCATTACATGCATAATAGATACTGATATGATTCTCAAAACATTTTTCACAGAAAGTAATTCCATGACATTTGTAAATCATTGGCAATCTTTGTAGATAAGAAAATAAGTTTAACAACTTCAAATACCAGCACTTTCTATATGGGCAGAAAAAATTACCATTCATTATTAGATCCAAAAGTATTCATATCCTATTCAAATCAAAGCACAGACCTTCATCAATATAGTTTTAAAACCATATATGACTACTAATTACTAATATTATAACTTGTTAGACAAAAACAAACATGGAGTTTTTGAAATGTACATTTTAAAACATTCAGGTAAACTCTGCTTTAAGTCACTAAATTACTGCCAGCAAAAAACTTACCGCCTGTCACTTCACACATTGGTGTGATTGCAGAGTCATCTAAAGGCACACCTGTCAACTGTTCTGATTCTACTGACATGGTGCCAGGCAACCGCAACACTAATGCAAAGAGTCTCTGATCCCAACGAAAAGGTTCCTTGGTCAATTCACTTCCAGGCAAAGGAGAATTAAGAGGTAAATGGAGCTGAAAGTAAGGGGGGGAAAAAAACAATAAGATTTCCACACGCTACTTTCCCCAAAAGGCCACATTAATTACACTTGTATTAAAACTACATCATGAGTGTCCTATCACTCAAAAAACAAGCCCCAAAGCATTTGCAGATATAACTAAAATAGCACATAAGATACTATTACTTCAATTTTCTTAAGCTCTTCTCTGAAGATCTCAATTGAAAGAATCTATAACTGTAATGTTTTTCAGATTTTAATTCAACTATCCACCAAGTGCTGGACTGCTTTCAAATAATCATTTCATCATCAAAACCACCCTTTTTATTCCTATTTTCTAGATTTTTAAAAAAATGGGCCTCAGAGAAAATAAATGATTTTGGCCTCCTGGGTATGAGTCTGTACTTTTTCTATTACACTGCAGCAGTCCTAAACATCTCCACATTTAGTAATTTAAATATGCTTCACTTTATACATAACATACATTTCCAAAGCATTTGCAAGAAAGTAAATTTTGTCACTCTAATTGCATATTAAATGTTATTAAAGGTAATGATTCTTATCACATCTGAGTAAAAACAGAGGGTTTGGGGGTTGTTTGCATCTGTTTTTTCCCCCATCACCATTTACCCCCATACCCTCTTTGCACGTGTTTTTTTGTTTGTTTGTTTGTTTTTGTTTGTTTGTTTTTTATGTCTTTCCTCTTCCCCAATAGACCTGCTAAATCATAATCTAAGATTCTTAAGAATCCTGAAAAGCTTTAAAGTGATTCTAATGGGCACCTCTGTACCAACAGAGTAACAAGACAATCCACACATCAATCTTAACATAACTAAATGGAGACAACCAGACAGTATGTGTCTCAGAGTATAATGCAATAGGATGTAAAACATTAAGAGGAAAAAAAAAGGGAAAGGGAAAGGAAAGAGAAGGTTGAACCTGCATCTAGTCAAGTCTAACTACCAGTTTACTGGAATACTGGGGATTATAGGAGGATCAAGTTTAACACCACCACACCTCAGCAATCAGGCAAATCCAGAATGTGAGATGTTCACAGGACAGATGTCCTGGTTTCTCCAATAAATAAATGGCATGAAAATGTAGAGTGGGAAGTGAGGAAGGTTGATGGAATTGTTATAGAATAAAAGACAAAGAAAATCAAAAGGAAAGGTTTTTGTAAAAATCGGGAAATTTTGGAATTATAAACAACTAGAGGCCCGGTGCATGAAAATTCATGCACTGGAGGGGAGGTCCCTCAGCCCAGCCTGCCCCCTCTCACAGTCGGGAGCCCTCAGGGGCAGGAGGCGACCCGGCGATCAGGGGAAGGCAATGTCCCCATCACACCTCTGCTGCTGCCACTGCCGGCAGCACAAGCCTCGGCCGGCCCTGGTTACCTGAGCCGCGGGTGGCCCTGGGTGGCTGGGCAGCCACCAACTGAGGCTTGCCTGTGCCTCGGCCGGCCCTGGGCGGCTGAGGGGACTGGGAGACTCCAGAGGCAGGCACACAGAGCAGCTGGGCCTGCCTGGGTGCAGGCCTGGACTTGCCGCCCCGGCAGGGCCGAGGGGACTGGGCACCGCCATCTTGTGGCTGTGGGTGCCACCATCTTTGAGGGTGTGGCAGTAAATAAGCATATTCCCTCCTTATTGGATACGGGCGTGGCCATCTTTGAGGGCAGGACAGTCAATTAGCATATTCCCTCCTTATTGGCTGTAGGCGCCGCCATCTTTGCTATGGCATGAGGGTCAATTAGCATATTCCCTCTTTATTAGGTAGGATATTTTAAGTGTGATGATGATATGGTGCTTAGGAAAACAAAAGTCCGTAACACTTATAAAATTTCTAAAAATAAAAATAAAGACCAGAATCAGTATACTGGGGAACTTATTTATATAATATTGGAGTTTTCTTCAAACTATAAAATTATTATTTCCAAATTCATTGCCAAAGTTTATGCTACTTTATTCATAAAGACAAACTTGCATTGCTTACAGCCTTTCTATTTCTCATCTCAAGGAAGACTTCTGAACTTAATTAATTATGGATTGAAGTCATTCTGCACCAACTTAAAACTCAAGTTTCTTCATTGATTTACATCAAACCATTAAAAGAAAATCAGATTCTATTCTAAGGAAAGGTCCTAGTAAAGCTCTGCAAATCTGACACCTCTCTCCAAAAGATTCATGCCAAGAGAATATGATTCTTTTATCAAGATCAGCCAAGATTTTGTGACCATGGCCAGGAGTCATGAGCTCTTCCTCTGGCACTGACCCTACTTAAGGCAAAATTCAGAGGAGATAAGGAAGGAATGTTGGAAGATAACTGGCCAAGATATTCTCTGAGGAAGGTTCTCTAACCTCAAAGACTCTGTAACACTTGTAAAACAGCGCAGGAACTCCAAGCTCTTACTGCTGTTACCTCATCCTGCCAGAAGATAAATAAGAAAGCCTTTTACTCCAGACTAACCACCCTTGTACTACGGAAGTACAACTACTGGGTGCTTGGTCCTTTTCTCTTTAAGATCACAGAAACATCAAAGCACCAGTGACACTGGCAGAAAAGGGTTTCAACTGTTAATGCAATGCTCTTAGATGTAATAGATACGTAGATCTATCTCAAGAATCTAGTGGATAAAAGCACTGCATAGACCTTAATATAAGTGGAGAATAGAATAATGAGACCCCATACTATAAACACATACAATATATATACAAACAACTAATCAGGTAATCTGACATACATACACACACAAAACTAATCAGATAATGATGAACATCTACAAAGGAGACAATATATAATGGAATATCTAATGGCTGTATAATGAAAGATCTAGAATGTATTTCAATTAAAACAAACAAAAAGCCAAAAATGGTGACAAGCATATTTTACACATTTTATAAACCTGTCAAATTTTATTCATTTTCCTATTTCTTATTATTTCCTATTCCCATATCACTACCCTCTGTCATTGCTGGAGAGGAGAGAGGAAAATCCCCTATAGCAAAAATGTGCTAGTTAAAATTGGAAGAGTGATAACAGACAAACAGGGACAGGAGAAATATAAAAAGCCTGGAAGAAAATATTCTTAGAGGGTTGAATTACTCCAAATCTAAAGTCTACAGTTGAAATTTCAGCAATGTCTTAAAATCACATAGAGAAGTTTCTCTAAATACATTGACTTTGAGAATCAAAGCAAATTGCATGTAAATCAATAAGAAAAACATAAAATTAACTGTTAGAAAAATATGTATTAAATATGAATAGATAATTCCCCAAAATGAAAAATGGACATGCACAAAAAATACTCAAGAAATCCATATGGCCTATAAATATGTGGAAAGATGCTCAAATACACTAACAGCAGATAATACAAATTAAAATATCAAAGATATAATTTCACACCCATCACATTAGCAAAATTTAAAAGTATGAAAATACCAAGTAAGAGGATAGGCATACATAGCAATGGGAACTCTCATCACTCCTATATACAGTCATTTTGGAGAGCAATTTGTAATGTCTGGTTAGCTAAAGATGAGCATACTCTAGGACCCAGCAATGTCATCTCTAGTTATAGAGAAACTCTCATGTTTATTTTCACAAGAAGCCATGTAAAAGAACACTGTCTACAGCATTATTTTAAATAGAGGAAAAATGGAAACAACCTAAAAGTCCAATAAGGGAATCCTATCTAATAATAGACAAACATGGTAATTAACCGTACCTCAAACACGCTTCCCATTGGCTAATCAGGACGATATGCAAATTAACTACCAATCAAGATGGCGGCCGGCAGCCAGGCAGCTGAAGTGAACAGGAGGCTTGCTTGCTCCAGTGATGGAGGAAGCCAAGGTTCCCCGCCTGCTGCTGCCGGCCTCTGAGCTGCACTCTAAGAAACAATGTTGCAATTATAGAAGCTAAACAAACCCCAGAAACCTGCTTTCAGCCAGCTGGGCCTCAGAGTTGGAGCTGCAACAGTGTTTCAATTATAGAAGGTAAACAAACCCCAGATACCTGCTTTCAGCAGCCGAGGTCTCAGAGCTGGAGCCGAGCCTCAGAGATAAAGCTGGCTCTCAGCTCCAGTGACAGCCATAGAAGGTAAATAAATCCCAGAATAAAAAAGAAAAAGAAAAAAAGGAGAGGTTGGGAGCTTCAGTTACCCGCCAGCCTGAAAACGGCCCTCAGCCCCTCACCCAGACTGGCCAGGCACCCCAGTGGGGACCCCACCCTGAAGGGGGTGTGACCAGCTGCAAACAGCCATCATCCCCTCATCCAGGCTGGCCAGGCACCCAAGTGGGACCCCCACCCTGATCTGGGACACCCTTCAGGGCAAACCAGCTGGCCCCCACCCGTGCACCAGGCCTCTATCCTATATAGTAAAAGGGTAATATGCAAATTGACCCTAACAGCAGAAGAACTGGGAATGACTGGTCACTATGACACACACTGACCACCAGGGGGCAGACGCTCAATGCAGGAGCTGCCCTCTGGTGGTCAGGGCACTCTCACATGGGAGGAGCTCTGCTCAGCCACAAGTCAGGCTGATGGCTGCCAGTACAGCGGTGGTGGTGGGAGCCTCTCCTGCCTCCTCAGCAGCGCTAAGGATGTCCGACTACAGTTTAGGCCTACTCCCCGCTGGCAAGTGGACATCCCCCGAGGGCTGCCGGAGGGATGTCTGATTGCCATCTTAGGCCCAATCCCCTGGGGAGCAGGCCTAAGCCAGCAGGTGGTCATCCCCTGAGGGGTCCCAGACTGCGAGAGGGCACAGGCCGGGCCGAGGGATCCCCTTCCCCCCGAGTGCACAAATTTTTGTGCACCGGGCCTCTAGTCCTATATAATAAAAACCTAATATGCTAAGTGTCCATTCGATTGTTCAACCAATGAAAGTGTAATATACTAATGATATGCTAAGGCCCCTCAACGGCTCACTATGACGTGCACTGACCACCTGGGGGCAGAGATTTGACCGGTTGACCAGTTACTATGATGTGCACTGACCACCAGGGGGCAGATGCTCCA